GTTTGGAGGAGGTAAGCACAATCATTTAGATGGTCCAGACTTAACAATGCATTGTAAAAGACATAAGTAAATAAATCTGAAATTTGTAATTTATGTTCATGGATTAACAGTGAAAAGAAGTGGACATTTGTTAAAATCTAGGAAAATGCATCACGCGTTTACAATGCTTTAACTCATCTCTACATTGTGTTAAACATTCTTATAGTACACACACGTACTCTGAAGTTGATATTAGAAATTTGCGTAAGTTTCTGATTGACAATTTCTATGTCGTTTTGAGGGACCAAGTTTTCCAACAATCTGTTGAAAATACCACCTTACCCATATTTGTTTTCACATGAAGCAGATATTATTCAAAATCTTGTACATAAGATGAAGCACTTGCTGTGGCCTTCAACTTGACTTCTAGATGTATCGACGACATATAATCAATTAACAATAGTTATTTTCATTCATATTTCCCAGTGAGTTTGAAGTGAAGAAAAATTACCATAGAGTCTAACACACGTGTTTCATATTTGGATGTATTACTAGCAACAGACGAAGATAGTAGCCTAGCTAACAACAAAGCTTTATGATCAACATGATGACTAACGTTTCAATTGTCAATTTACCTTACTTATGCAGCAATGTACCATTACCACCTGTATATGGGGTTTATATCTCTCAGTTGTTTTGAAACGCAAGGGCATGTTCGACGTATTAACAGTTTCTAAAGCGAGTGAAATAATTGTCACAAGTTGATGAAACAAGATTTTTACCAGTTTCGTTTAGAGTCATCTTTTCGTAATTTGTGTATTGTCAATACAATGACCTTTTAACAAATATAACATTAATAAGAATTCCTTCATATTTCATGCATTTAAAAAAATAATGAAATTTTCACAGATTCAAGAAGACATTAATACTAAGTGATCATCAGTTAGTTTAAATTTGACAGTCAGGACATGGTGTATAAATTCTTTTCCTTGGCGTTTAAAAATTAAAACAAATTACTGTAGCCAGTCATATCATGCCTACCTACAACGTATCAGAAGATTGTTTTTTTCTTTTTGCATAAAAAAGATAAAAGTATACAGAGTGTATCAGATGGTACTTATCTACGAAATGTACATAAATGTTTGAAAATAAACCACTGCTTTTGACATTTCACTTTCCATGCAAATTTCCTACTATTGTTATTGTGATTTAAATTCAAGCCACGTTTTAGGTTGACCTATTCAAAGGTTATACAGAACCGGTTTTATATTTTCATTTTTATAATTTTTTCTTTTGAAAACAGGTCATGTAAAAATGTGTTTCAAACCTTACTGAAAGACTTTCATGATAAAAACAGAAACGGTTTGACTAATGGGGGAGGGGAAAAAACAATATATCTGCTTAATGTTTACGGCAAAAATTAGAAATTTTTAGCGGCCGATACGCTGTCTACAAAATGTGTAATATCATCTACACTGAAAATTTGTTTGCCTTATATGGTAATTGTTATTCATGCGCACAGAGGATTTAAAAACTGACCAATCATTGAATCATTAATTTTTCATTTTATTTGAACACGTGTCTCAGGTCAATCTATGTTCGTGTCAATGGAGCGCCAAAAAATGTTCTTATGAACAAAATAAAAAGGTAAGAAATTAAAAAAGATGTTACGGGCATTTTTATATTTTGTTAACTAAAAAAATTATGTATAATAAAATGTAGTTTGTGTCAAGTTCAGAACACCAGCGCTCCAAGGGTATGGAAAACGAGTAGCATCTCATGCATTTAAATGGACAAAACATTTTTTACATATCTATACTCGTGATCATGTGTTTGGCCAAGGAATTCACCTGACAATCGTATTCACCGATCTTTCAATCTCTTTGCAGTATGACTTTGAAATATATAAAACGTATATAACAAATGAATTCTTTGTCATAGTGAGCATGGAAATAACAGAATTTAAAAAATGCTTTTCATTCAGGAGAGGCAAAAATGGTCTTTGTGCCTTTTTCGATCGCCATAATTTTTCCATTCTCTCTCACTGAATTTCCAGTAGGATATTTAGTAATTTTCAAATCATGAGATAATTGGTCAGTTAAAGTGTGTTGTGCCTCATTTGCTAATATTACGCCACCAAATTCATAGACACCTGATCCCATGCAAAAATATTTTCCAAAATAGAAATTTTAATTCATGACATTTGCAGAAAATTGTTTGCACGGAATCTTATTTAAGTTTGAATAAATTCAAGAGAGGTCGTTAAGTACATTTACTACAGATATTATAGGTATATCACAAAGCAACATAAATTTTCTGTTTACCATGTTTCCACGTGCTAGTCACTTCTTAGCCACATATCCGTGAATAATTTATCCTATCTGGTATGTAAAAGATATAGATTATTCTACATCCAGATTAAAAGTTTTGAAAATATAAACCTCTGCTTTAGGGGTTTTCAGCTTTCCATGTATAAGTTTAAATTCTGCAGATTGTCCTGCAAAAATCAAAACAAAAACATAAGTTTGGACTATATTTTTATGATTAACTTTATATAGCAGAAATGGGTGAGTTGTTAATTATCAACTATATTAGTTCTAATGTTCTTATCAAGATAATTCCAAGTTAACACTTTTTCTTCTCGTTAGTATACATTGACGTGTCCGTGCATTTCCCGTTGCCCGCCGCCATCACCTCAAAAACCATTATGTGTCATTAGCGATGGGTAATGCATGAGATCTCTGGAATACCTTTCACCATTTATCTGCGATCGCTACATTATCTTGAGAGTAGAAGTCAACTAAATAGAGTTGTGACACAGGGATGAGCCTGGCATTCCATGACCCTGAAGTCAAGCTAGCATTAATGATAGAACTTGTGATGGAGTCAAATGAAATGTTGATTATCATCTCACTCCTAAGAAGTATTATAATGGTTTAGTATCAAGTTAAATTGAATTGTAGTTTGATGGAGATCTGCCATGATAACTGTAATACGTAGTATAAAAAATGTATTTTTGTCCCTTTTAAATTATTCTTTTTTTTTTTTAGTTGTGCTGTCTCCAGAAACATAAGGTTTTATATATATTCTTTTAATGTAAAAATATTACAAATATTGAATTAAAAAAAATATTATTACAAAGGACAATGTTTTTTTTTATCAAGGAGACGTGAATTATCATTATTTTTTGTAGCTTGACTGCTATTAATAGTATTACTTTAATACGATAAGGTTTATTACGTACAATTATTTTGTTTCTTCAAATTATTTATTTTATTTTGCAAAAGAGGTGATAGAAAAATTTCAAGATACATCGTGAAACAAACTAGGAAAATATAAACTACTGCTATAAAAATAAATCGTAATTCTTTTTTTCAGATCCAAGCTCCTTGTAGATCGCTTATTGGTTTTCGTTCTTTTTTTCTTTTGTTTTGTCTGTGTTTGATTCAAATAATAAATTTTGATCGAATCCAGGATTGGCGGATTTGACGTTATAATTAAATTTCATGTTTTGAAAAATGGATTTTAATCACGAGTTCACGTCATCAAAGACAAGTTACACTGTGAGTATAGAGTTAAATTTACCAATACATGTGATTTTGAAAATGGGCTTTAAATTACCCTTCGGAAAATGGAAGATAATAATGATTAATAGTTATGGAGGTTTCACTATCAAATTATAGGAAGTCAGCAATCAATTTCTAAAGATGAAAACGAGAAACACTTTTCTCTCATAGGGTGTGAACATGTTGAAAGAGATTAATCGTTGTTCCCTTAAAGAGCTGTGGCCAAAAATGTTTAAACGCCCAAACAAAAACAAATACGTTGTCAATTTTATGATACGTGGTTTATTTCTTTTTTTAAAATGCAACATTTAACAAAGGAAAACATTTTGATTCTAGCCATTTCTCTTTTGAATATTCCTCCCTTATAAAGACGATATCACATAAAGTGTGTTTGAGATTTTGCAATGAAATTCTATAACTACAAATTCTTACGCCTAAAGAAGAATACAATAAATTTTTTGGTGAAAAGATCAAATGTGAAGGTCACAATTTTATACATTTTGTCTGTGTGTAACACTTTCGTTTTCAGATTTTTTAGGTCAAAAGGTCAAGATTAGAAGTTTACAGTTTGCAAAAAGCAGACACCAGATGAGAACTGAAGTCCCCTGAGCCATTTTTTAATCAAAGAAGGTGGGTGAACAAATCAGCGATTTAAGATAATAAATAAAAATCCTTGTCGATTTTGAGGCCAAGAGGCCAGAAATTTATGCAGAGCAAACATAGATTTCAGGCGATGAATTTAGTACTCTGTACGCTTTTGTAATGAAACTTCAATTACGTTTTCTTAAAAAACACCTCAAAAATAAGTTGAAAGGTTAATGTTGGTCTATTTTCTTTCTACATCTGCATTTATTTTCTTTCTACCTCCAACCTATCTATTTCTCGAATGGATGACACAAATTCTCTGAATTAGCTTGTTATCAAGAGAAAGCAATACTAGATATACTTCGTAATTTCAGCAAAAAAGATACATGGTGGGTTTCTTTATAGCGAGCGAAAATTGTTTTATTTGGGTCTGGCTATAAATGTCATTGTAAATAACAATGCCAACATGCATTGTCAATCACTTTCCGAAACTTTTAAACAATTTCCTAAAGCATCTAAAGTATCCGACCAAAGAAACTGTATTACCAAATAAAATCATCTGTCACTGCAACTTAAGTAATTTATCCCACCAGTTGCTTTTTTATTTCCTAATCTTCTTCTCTATTCCTTCAAAAGCAAGTTCGATAAGATAGCTTTAAGACAGACATTACATTGAAAAACATCTCTTTTATCAAAGCAACATAATGATCAATTACAAAACCTAACATGCTGGCTTCAACCTTAGATATTCTTGGGGACAAATAGACCCCGCCTCCTTCGTAATTATAAAGTTGACATCGACCCTGTTGATCAAGAAATACTATAAAGGATAGTTTTGATGTAGCCCTTAACTTAGTCGATTATATTTTTCCTGTGGACTGCTGCGTTGACGTTAAAGTATCAGCAAAAAGCACGCGACATAAACAACCAATACGGAACAGGCAGGGTGTAAATAGTAAAACCTCACTTGAAATGTGAAGTTTATCGACAAAAAGTTATTCCATTTACGTGTTCATACTAATCAACCCAGGACAAGATAGAAATAATTTATTATATATTCACTGTTTAAAAATTAATGATTGAATTCCCTGTTCCATAATTATCAACAGCGGAAGACAAGAGAGAGAGCAGGAAGGGCTGTTTGTCAAATCGTGGATTAACTTTGCTCTAATCACGAACAGTTTTCCAAAAAGTTTTACTTATATGTCATCCCAGGAATACCAATTGTAAGGTATAGAGACTTTGTCCAGCACCATGTTTAGCCGTGTTCTGTGTGCCTTACTTTGTGTGTTACAAGACTTAACAGGTATGTAAATAACCTAATTTTTCAAAATGTTCTTAATTAAGGAAGGGGGAGGTATTTAAACCTAAAATGTCTTTGACAAAACCTTTGAATACTATTTCTTTCGTTTTCTATTTTACTTCCAGTCCAATTACATTACATGCACGTATCTTCACACGTATTCTGTAAATGCTTACGTAGAATATTGTAACCGTTGCATTAATTGTTGAGCAGACTTCAATTTTTTTGGTTACCAGCTCTGTAAAATATATGTATCGATAAACAACAGAAACACCTTTTCTTTCACCCTCATTGACAGATTAACCATTCAGATACGTGGGAATTGCAATGATCTTTAAGTAGAATAATTGAAGACGTCCATTGGCGCATTCCGAATAGCGCAAACTAAAACGCTTTTAGCTCAAGTGTTTATTTGTCAACCATGTCGCATTAAAGCATGTTAAAAGAGATGTAATGTTTTCTCCTCTTAAGTGTCCTGCTTTAAATTTACAAAGAATGCAAATCGAATGAAATCCAGCACAAAATTTCCTTAAATAATGGATTTCTCTTGTCACTGGGTTGTTGTTTTTTTTTCTAATTCACATTATTGTCTCCTTAAATAGAGAACGGTATCTTCGCTAACAATCACTTTTAAAATGTTTTCAATCAGTTTAAAATTAAAATTTTGTCGCCTCCGTTTCACACGACACTGATTTTGTATTGTTGATTCACACAGAAGTTCACGACGACCTCTTCCGATCTTCCTCATCGCTTATTATTGTCGACAACCATCTGTTTCAACAGACTTCTGTTTTCTCAGATAATCAACGACAGTTTGTATTTTATCGGGTCAATAACATCCTAATTGGAACATTGTATCGCCATCGATCGCCTGTCTTGATTTCCAATCAACTTATGTTACCCATGTTACCCTTGCCTTCTACATTCTCTAATTCAATAGAAGAAAACCTGCGAGTCTGGTTCGAAGACGCATAAAACAGAAGTCGGCTATATCAAAATCAAGTATATGTCAAACATAGTATTGTATTGTGACAATTAATATAAGTTTATGCTCCCAATTGAGTTGTTGATGTATATCAGATACAGCGGGGACCTTGTTAAGTATGATTTCTCGGTATCAATAGATATTTGATAGACAGCTGGAATAGTATCTACATGTATAATTATGTTTGGAGACTAAGAGGCGAATACATATATGTTTCAAGACAAACCAAACCTATGAAAGTCTTTTTAAAAAAATAAAGCAATGTTTCCTTCAGTTCGAACAATTAAACTGGCCGATGAAATAACATAATTGATTTTTAAACATTTGATTTTTAGGAATTAATAAGAAAGTACAACAAACACATGTTTTATAGTCTTAATGAAGATTAAAAACTTGTAAAATTTCTCTTTATTGAAATACGTACATGTATTTAGACTATACGGTTCCGTAATCCGTGGAGCAAGATGTTTCTCGTCAAAGAATAGGACTCTTTATCTGTTTATGCCTGTTTATTGATATATCGAATACTTACACCATCCAATTATACCTACATAAGGATCATTATCATTAGTTAAATAAATAGTCCCCTAAAGGCTCATTTCGATGTAATGGTCGTGTTCATAGCGACGCGTCCATTACGGATTAGGATATGATGAAATCTCGCGGGAAATTCGCGGCGTTGTAGTCACATTACCCAAGACGATAACGCCATCAAGTAGTCCACAGTCTGAACAGGACTTACGGAAAGGTCAGTGAGACGTGCTGATGGCGGTAAGTATCGCTAGCCTTCATCGGAGTACCTCGGGATTTAAGCCTGACCGAGTACTAAAATTCGTCCAAAAAATCCGTACTAACCTTTATCACGAAATAGAAATACTTTTTATTACTAGATGAACTTTGGGCTCTATGAGCACGAAATCAAAATCTGATAAATTATTCAGTTATCCTTGGCTCTTATCAGAGAGATAACGTTTTGATTTACTCTCTATCACTCTGAAGTTTCTGTATTTTGAGTGATCTGGTTTGCTTCTACTCTTGGGATATGGGCCACATCTCTTGACATATTATTGGTGGAATATTTCATACAATGTAATAAATATTCACAAGAGTGAAGAAATTAAATTTTTATCACCGCTGGGTAAATGAACCAGTTGTAGCTGAGACATAAAACATTGAATTAGAAGCACAGCAAACAAAATAAAGTTAAAGCATCTTTTGCTGTTGATTAATTCACCATAACTTTTGAACCATTGAGACTTCATATTTGGTATGCTTACTCCACTAATTAAGGTCTTTCAAAAGACACCAAGGTCAATGACCTTGTGACCTTAACTGTGGCCTACATGCTAAAATAGCTTTTTTCTGCAAACTTTAACCTTTGCCATAACTTTTGAACCATGAAAGATAGAGACTTCATATTTGGTATGCATACTCCACTAATCAGGTTCTTTTTTTTTTTTGTCACTATAACTTTTGAACCATGAGAGATTTTTTTTTGGTACGCATTCTCCACTAATCAAGCTTAATCTGTTATTAATTTAAATTCACACCCTATAGAAAATTATCTCTTGCAAGAATGCTTTTCAATAGGTGTAATTCTATCAAACATGGTCGCCCGCGTGATGCAGCGGTTTAAGCAGTGGCTAGATCGTTTGTTATAAAGTGGCTGAATAAGGAGGCGGTTCGAACCCACTTTAGGACGGTGAGACCGGTTCCTCGGTTGAGACCGTATAAATCGAAGTCCAGTGTCGCAGCAGGTACTGGCACGAAAAAGATTCCTCACTGCTTAAAGGATGTAAGTGCCGAATATATGTCTAAGTTTGTAGCCCTACAATGGCAAATGAGTGAAAAAATCTCGAAAAGACGTTTCAACTTAAATTAACAAAGAAACCAATCTATTCACATGTTTTGACAAAACAGAAGACAAGTTTTTGTTGTTTAAAAATGAATTAGCTCTTCATCCTTATTTCTTTCATTAATATACTAAAAATTTGTACCCGATAGTTTCAAATGAAGACTACATTTATATTTAGTTGTTATTGGAAATGGATATTCGGAATACGTGGTTATTTCTCGACAGTTGTATAAAATGGTCTTTTTGACACAGGCAATTCGAAACAAAGGATTGATATCTTGGAATCTAGAAATTCAATAGAAAGTCATTATCCGGCTATCTTTAATTGTGACCAATTCAAATTAAACCATAGGAAAACACGCCAAATTCACATAAACACAGGTTTATGACCAGAATGTCTACCATTTGGCGGTCATGCTCGGGCACTATTGACTTCCTATAGACCCTTGCCATTAGGTCTCTTGTAATTTAACAACAACTTTTATGGTTTCAGCACTAACAAAACCTGCTGACTTTTAGGTTTTTTTCCAACTTAAGCGCCAAATCTGAAACATGTTCTCTTTTTATAAAAGTTATTGTTTCAGAAAAGGGGTATGCTAGGGCTATTGTGATCAATTAGCAGGGTACGTTTATGGTAACAGATGTTTAATTAGCTCAGTATCCCAGTCGTGGATTTCATCGTTGCGGGACTCCGCAGAGGACAGAGCTATATAAAATGGTTGACAATTTTGAGTTATAGTCCAAGTACTGATACATCTCTTCTCGGGAATGATTTTAATTTGACGAAAGAGAAATTTGAAAACAACTATGTAGATGAAGAAAAGCAAAGGAAACTTTAGCAGAGCTTTCCTTATAATATATTTTAATAAGTTAGTTTATTAATATTTTCCTAATGGGAATTCAACAATATGAAACTTAAAATTTACTGAACTAAAAGGGCAAATTGTCTATATAGTTGAGACCTGCAAATTTCGACAGAGAGCTAACAGGTATGGCATCATGATTGACGCCCATGTTGACGCAGGGTTAAAAAAAAATTATGCAATTTATTTGAGGTAACAAAGTGTTAATATGGTTGAGTAAAAATGTCTTTGAAATAATTTTTTTGGCTGAGAAAAGAAAAAGGAATACAACGGTTTACCTGAAAAAGTTTCCGTTAAGAGCACTGTGGTAATATTGATTCTGAGACAAAAGAACAAAAGTAACAATTACGAAACAACAAAAGAAGTAGCTCAGCATGCAGGGATATTTATGGTTAATAAATGTTCCTGCAAGTATTTGGTAAACTTGTTTCCGATTAGTACTTGATAAGCAATTAGAGAGAAGTTTACGAGCTATTAAGTAAGGGGAGGTCTTTGAAGAGCATAGTTTGACAAATTTACCTGAAAATCAATTACATCAAGTAATTATTACTAATTGTCTTTGAGATGCAAAAATCAATAACATTTGAAGAGTTTTTTTTCTCTTCGATTTAAAAAAAAAAAATTCGCGTCGCTAGACATTTCAATCTTAGTTGGGGAAAAAAATTTTTGTCTGACTGTGCAAACAATGTTTTGGCAGTGAAACAGCTCACTGAAATTAGAAAGATAGAAAATTATTAGTTTCCAAACTCCATCATGATTCAATTAAAACAAAGTGGATTTTAATCTTCAAACTTAACAAAAAAAGGTTCTAAAGAGCATACTAAGTACCATTTTCTTAAATGATAATTACATGGATATTGTGTGCTAGGGTCTTCCAATAGCCTTTCTAGAAAAGTACTTCTTAATCACAAATTTGTCATTAATTTCTAATTACAAGTTGCTTTGCTTGCTTTGAATATGGAAGTTGCAAAGATGTCAAAGAACAAGTAATGGCTGTGGTTCCTAAAATATATTTTTGATAATTTTTTTTTCTTATAATGAGTTGTGCAAACTTTCAATCCCACATACAATTTTTCAGAAGAAAATTGGAGTTTCTGTATCGAATATTCTTCAAGTTCATAATTTCTAAGACAATAGTGCTGCTTTAAAATGAGAATTTTGTATGAAGATATAAGAGGTGTCGGTAACAGTGTTACTACGAACCAATTCGATAGATCACGCCAAAGACTGCAAATTACATAATATGTCAGCAGGAATTGGATACCCATAGCTCAAACAAAGCAATCTGGTTTTCATTGCTGCTACGTTAATCGTATATTTTCTCTTGACTAGGAAATATCTGACAGAAAGTATACTCTTTATCATGTTAATATGCTCTAGAGTATTTGTAAACTTTCAAAATTTATATATAAAAAACGCATCGAATTTCTATAACAAAAAAGAATGCAATACGATTCCAAATTTTAATTGATTGGTTGATTGAATGTTTGTTGTTTCACGGTCTATTTGGAAAATTTTCACTCATTTAAAGTCGTCCACCATTGGGGACTTCTTTAGACCCCTACTAGGCACTCGGAGTCATTGAGCAGTGAGGATTCTTTAAGGTGCCAAAGCCTAACGTGACACGGGACCTTGGTTTATAAGGTCTCAAATCCGTGACTTTCACTTCTAATGTCATGTACTTGGCGAAAGGAAACACTACCTTTGTTAATGTCTAAGGTGTGACGAGTAACGATCCTAGGCCTACTAGGGAAAGTAAAAAATAAAAAGTGAACTTTAAAAAAAAAAATTAAAAGGTCTTAAGAATTTCAAAAACATACGTCTCGATCATTTCAGGAATAAAAAAGCTAAAGAAATTAGTCAATATTAGAATGATCTGTTCTCTGTTGTTAAAACTTAAAATATGCTTGTCTGTTATATTTTTATTTTCTATTCCCACTAGCAGCTCTTTGCAAATGTATAAAAGTCTTTTCCGTAGATGAAGGATGCATTTAAACTCTATTTCATAGTCAATTAAACAATTGCATGAACAGTGTCTTGAAGAATAGATTTCATAAATCAGATGTTAGGATTTGGCTATGGCATTAAAATGAAAGAAAAATTATCATTTCTGATTTCTAAAATGAAGTATGATATTAGGTGTTAAAAACCGATTTTCCCATTTAGTTTTGAGCAAAACATTGATCCATGCCAATAAAGCCACACAGTATAGATAATCCACATGGATTACATAATTGATATCAGTTTAGAAATAGAACTCCTTTTACTTTGTCTTTTGTTTGAAAGTAAACATAAAAATTATTGATCCAAACGAAAGGGAAAATTGACAAAAATCAAAATTACTTTCTGGGCAATTGAACGCATATTAACTTTGTTTGTTCTATTCTCAATTTGTTGAAAATTTACGTAACAACGATTACTTTTTCAGCGTTTGATTAAACATTGAATGTCTCTCAAAGTCCATTTTCATTAGTTTTTTGGATTAGCAGAAAACTTTGAGAACAGTCAATTGCACATAAAATTACTAATAAGTAGACGCATGACCCACAAAGATAAGTGGCTATGTCGTAGAAGGGGGATTATAACCGTACCCTAGTGCTCCAGTCTGCTACAGAGATGGCTTAAGCTAAAGCAAGATACTTTCCTTGTAATGTCAGACTTAATTGATAAATGAACTAATTAATTTGCAGTACATTTGAAACGCACTTTAGACTAATAGAAAGCTCTATTTTTTAAATGTTTTTTGTGATTTTTTTTTTCGGAATATGTAGGCCGATTGATTAAATTCTATGTTAAAGATAACTTATACTATTATTTTATTTCCTGTCTCTTTTGTAATTTTAAATTCATTAAGATGGAAATGATTTTTAAGAAATAATAAATTGAGTCAATCAATACAAACAGAATATAAGAAAGAAACCGAGTGTTTTCTGAATGGTTAGAAACAACTGGTATGCAACATGTCTATATGTCAATTGGTATGGAACGAGCGTTAATGTACTATAGTATATACACTGTATATAGGAAAATAATTTCATTATAATAAACACAGCATTTTCAACATACTGAGTGGCAGACTATAAACACCATTGTTGGATGCTCTGTGTCTTCTTCTTTCTATCAGTAGTCTTTAAAAGTGAGGAAAATTTGAAATGAAAAAATTTAAGTCATCCCTTACACGTCTTTAATTTGATGTTGAATGAACATATGTTTTGATGTTATTGTCCCCCGCTTTCGCGAAAGCGAGGGGACATTAAATCTCATTCGTCTGTCCGTCAGTCTGTCTAGCTGTCCGTCTGTCAGTCCGTCACAAAAACTTTAACCTTGCCCATAATTTTTGATTTAGCTGAGCTCATATTTCACAAGTATATTCCTTGTGACAAGACCTTTCTTTGGCTACCACCAAATTTGACCTTTTGACCTTGACCTTTGAGTTTGACCCACTTTTACACAAAAAATCCTAACTTTTACTTTGGTCATATCTTTTGAATGGTAGAAACTAGGACTTTCATATTTCACATATATATTCTTTGTGGCAAGACCTTTCATTGGATAGCAACAACCTTGACCTTTTGACCTTGACCATGGAGATTTTCGCACTTATAAAAAAACATTCACCTTGACCATAACTTCTGAACGGTAAGGGCTAGGGTTTTCGTACTTCACATATGTAATCCTTGTAAGAAGTCCTTTCATAAGATACCATGAACTTTGACCCTTTGACCTTGACCTTTGAGTAAGTCTTTTTTTCAAGAACATTGACCTTGGTCACAACTTTTGAACTGACGATGCTAGGGCTTTCATTTTTCACATATGTATTCTTTGTGGCAAGACCTTTTTTGGGTACCACCAATTTTGACATATTGACCTTGACCTTGGAGTTTGACCCAGTTTTACACAAAAATTCCAAACTTTTACTTTGGCCATAACTTTTGAATGGTAGATACTAGGACTTTCATATTTCACATATATATTCTTTGTGATAAGACCTTTCATTGGATACCAATAAACTTGACCTTTTGACCTTGGAAATTTTTCGTACTTATAAAAAAAACTTTAGCCTTGGCCATAACTTTTGAATGGTAAGGGCTAGGGTTTTCATACTTTACATATGTAATGCTTGTGAGAAGACCTTTCATTGAATACCAAAAAACTTTGACCCTTTGACCTTGACCTTGGAGTTCAGTGATGATTTAATATAATAAATGAAATAAATGACATATGATAGGATGTTCATATTACGCACAATATGTCATAAAAACTGACATCTCACCCACAAAGACACCGAAAGCGGGGGACCACAATTCCTTGAATTTGCTTGTTGATTATTCATGCTTCGGTGGATGTCAGTATTTTATGAACAGTAAGGAAAGGGCTTGGTAGATCATTTACTGGCCTCTGCAATATATACCCTGTATTTAGAACCCAGGTACATTGCACAGCCAACATGCAGTATGAATATAATCTAGTGTATTTCAGATACATATTAACAATGTGAAATAAATTTTGGTTACTAGTACTGTTGATTTGTTTGAGTATTCCTTTTTTCATGACATAGTATCAGAGATCTCTGAATTGGTTAAAGCCCTGCCGCTTACACCTGATAGAGCAGCCATGCATTGAAGATAATTGAACAGAGAAACTGGAATCTCGTATCGTTTTGCACATTTTAGGAATCGGTTACTTGTTAAATTATAAAACAATTAATAACGCGCAACTCTGTTTATTGGCAAAACATCTTAATGCACTGATAATAGGAGAAAAACATTTATCTGACTTTAAAGCACTGAAACCCTGTTATGAGATAGGTGTCGGTAACAACTTACAGTACTTAGGGTAAAAAAAATTAGAGCCTTGCAAAATGCTTGATTTACAATTATCTGTTTTGAATTGACATAAATCATTTTTATAGGGCACAGAAGAGGTCTTTTTTATAATTATTAGAACAAACGATAACCATTCCACTTAAATGGAATGCGATTTGTTGTAATGGCCGTGCATTAAGAGGAAAATATTACAAATGGTGATGAGGAAATGTACCAATCTTTATTTTGTAAAAAATGTTTTGAAATACATTCGAAATTGAGAAAAAAGTCAAATAATTATTCCCTAAAGATTTTGCTTCTTTAAACTGAGTTTCAGATAAAAATATATTATACAGATGACAATTAACTTCCAGATATAATAATACCTTTACATAACAACTTTAGCATAAATTGCAAAACGTTTGAACCTCATGTCTTTGTTGTAGAATTGTTAAGTTCCCTTACTTTGAAATTTTTAATCATTTTGAAATGCATTCCTACCAAGTATAGCAAAGCTGAACGCAGTGATGACATTTTTGTATTCATTACTCATTGTGAGAAATTGTCACATTATCTCAGGTCATGCTGAATTCTCAATAAAAAATATTATTAAAAGTCTCCAATGCGATGTATTGCTGTTTTCAACATTTCTAGACTTTGAACCAACAAATGTAAATTTTACACTTATCTTTTGATATTTGTATTTTCAGTTGTCAGCTCAATGTGGGACGAATGGTGGACCTATGACGGAATTTCCGGTAAGAAAATTAACTCTAACATATTGTGACTTGCATATTAACTCTCTTGCTGTGATTCATTGATAGCTTTGTACTCACTGTGTGCGTGACATTCAGACATTGTCTGATGACCTGCAATAAGTGTCATCGCTATAATCCCGTACTTCTTTATTCTCTGTGATGGTGAAAAATGTGGTTAGTTCACCTGCGTATATAGAAAAGATTAGAATTTTATTTATGGTCCTGCCGCAAGAAATTTGTGGTGTGCAAAACACTTTTCTGATTAATTCGTTCCATGAAAGTTTTTCAGATAACGATGTTCTTTATTTCCTTACTTACATAACTTTCAATGAATCTTTTACGTATGAAATATTCATGTCTTTGGTGTGCTTATCAGTTGTGCCGAGGTTTATTTCTACAATTGTATAGTAATCTTAAAAAAGTCATCCTTGAAAGCATTGTCAAATAAAATCTGCTTTGTCAGACTAAAAAAAAATAATGGCTGCAATACTGCTTTGTGAGAGCCTTCAAAGTTTTGCCTTTTTTTAAAATTAGATACACTGTATTAAAAGTGCATGATTAAGTAAAATATATTTGTAATCCAGGTTAAACTGGTCATAATGCAAAAATATAGATTGGCGAGGATTTCTTAAAGGTATAGCCAACAAATATCTTGTATCCGATCCTTCAATCGATAATTCTATCAACAAGGATAAAATTATTACTATAGAAATCTTCACATTCTATGGTTACGTTTTTCTTTACGAATTAATATCATATGAGATATTAGATATAAAGAGATAAGGTTTGCTGAGTGTTAATTCGTTAATTAATATAACCTTAATTACAAGAAACATTGCGTTTAAAAGATGAAAATATTCGGTTTGATTCCTCTGTATAGGGTATCATATGGTCAAATTTACACATATCTCATACGAAAAACTTTGCATTTGTCCCAAAAGAGAGGCTGCTGCAATTAATTTCATTCAATGAAGTAATATTAACCGACAAATACTGCAGAAAACATCATTACAGACTAAGGGCAATATTAATCATTTATATGTCAATGCTTTCTTTATTTGAAATAGTAGTTCGTTCAGTACTCTCAGCCGATAGGTTAATACAGATCTAAATTTACCTCTTGATAATCCTTTTCTGGGGACTTAGAACCTATACTAGTATTTCAGTGCTTAAGTACTTCTTACTTTATAAGTATTTACTGTACTTTCTGTAAGTAAATTTGTTTTGCTGATGGAAATGCGTCTTTCAGTGACGGATTTATTGAATTATGCAGGAGATGTGAATCGAAGTGAATGGCAGTTGTATATTTCACCAGTATGTTTCACTCGTGGTTAATTTGGCTTCTTCTATAACATCGCTGTACAAGACTGCTGTTCAGTAATTATATCTATCAAGGAAACCATAAAGATCCAAGAGTTAGTCTCGGGTGGGACATAGGCATTTCAAGGACTTTGATTTACCATGTCTGGGAAGAGATTCTATGACACAAGTTGATGTAGACCCTGACAAGTCTGATTGAGACTTCCATTATCGAATGTCCAGTCTTCAGGGGACTTTGTGATATATGAGCAACTCAGGAGATGTTGTCTCCAGATTTTATCTCCGAACTGAATTTTAAAGAATTTTATGAAATCTGTAGAAATGCACCATAAGAAACACCATGTAATATGTATGCTGATAATCAGAAGTCTATTTTCATCCAGATTCAGTTTTGTAGGATTTCCTGGATTTGAATTTTTTGGCGACATTTTTTCTGCTAAGTTAAGACGATGACTAGCTACTTCCTCCACACGTGTTTCTTGAAGTCCAATTTGTGTTTTTGAAAATGACCAAAAGGGTATGAATTTTCCAAGGGATAAAAGTAGATATGAAAAATATTAAAGGAACAATTTCAGAAAATAAATCTCGAAAGAGAAAATTTTGAATATGAAACTCAACTAGGTCTTGGCATGTTAGCAAAACGTAGTTAGATACCGATAAAACCATGTCTGATAGTCTATCTCTGTAATATTAGGAGACAATTAGGTAGAGCAATTGATTGTGGTAATGAGATTGTCTCCCTTGACCTGCGAAGAGAGAGCAGGGAGGCGAATAATGATCAATATCAGCTTATACTCCCAATGATTCTGCTTACAGAGACGGAAAACGGATTTGATTCCGTGTAATAGAGTTGTTCGCTTGGTGCGGAAAATGGACATATGAAAGCAGTGGTGACTGATGATGGCAAAATGAGCCTTGTGCGTGTGGTGCGATGACCACTTGCCATCTTAAAGGCGATTTCTTTGGTACTGGGAGTTTCCAAAAAAGATTCTTATTTCATTTCATTAAATAGCCCAGTAGATGAGTTTTCCCTTTGTAATTTGTACATGCTGTTTCATACATTACTATTTAACTGTTGTGTCATGTTCGAAATTTTGAATTTACCGGGTGGGAGTAAATAAAACATTTGGAACATGACAACTGTTTTATTCCCACCCGGTAAATTCAAAATTTAGAACATGACAGTTGCATTAAGGGTTATGTCTTATTTGTTATTAATTTTTCGGTCCATAGTTTTTGCTATTAAAAATTTTCAGTTATTTTCGTTCATAAATTAAACTGCTTCATATATTGAGAAACCTTTTTACCCTTCTTTTGTTCAAGATTAAAGCAAAAAAACAAAACAAAACAAAAAAAAAAAAAAAACAAACAAATGAACAAATGGTCAAAATCTTACACCAGAATTTCTGAATTAAGCTTAAGTTTGACGTATCAATGACTAATATGTGAGAAACAATTGAGTATTAGAAACATTGATACATGTATTTAATATATTTTTCATTACTTGATAAAAACTGAAACAAATGTAAACAAATGTGGCCTTTTGATGAGATCAATTCCCAAATAATACATGTACAATGTAGTTAGAGAAAACACACCGACCTGTGTTTTTGTGTGTTTTCTCTACAGTCTATGTATGAAAAGGCTGTATTTGTATAACACCAATCTTCTAATTTCGTTGAATATAACTGATAATTACATAAAATGTCTAGATTCTTCCTTAGAATAAGCCATTTAAAAACATATTGACCTTAACGAGAAAATTTCGCATTGTGTCCAATTAAAGAATTTACTGTCTTAGTCCAAAATTTTCAGTAAGATGAGCAACCGTGCACACAATTTGAATGGTGTTTTGGTTAAATGACTATGCAAATAAACTTTAAGTAAAGTGTTATTTTCTAAAGGCATAATAATATGAACTATTTCACTGAATGAAAAAGTAAACTAGTTAACTATATCGATCAAAATTTTCAAACAAACAAGTAAATCGTTAATAATAAACCAAACTGACATAAAAAAGTAAAGAATCCCCTCTTCTATAATTTGGTATTGTTTATTAAAACATTGATTTTCACACTAACAGGAGATGTAGAGAAAGTCCAAAGAAAAAACAATCAATTTATATCATTAATCAAAACAAATACATAAAATCTTACTTACTGCAGTAAATAAAACATATGGAGATAACGAATAGTATTCAAGATCAAAACTCCATAAAACAATACAAAATAGAAGCAGAGCAAACACGGACCTCCAAAACATCAGGGGTGGGATCAGGTGCCATGAAGGAGTGAGCATCCCCTGCCGACCGGTCACATGTGCTACTTGTCATGATCGGATAATAACGAAAAAATCCGTCGTCAATTAATTGTATAAATAATGGACTAACAATTAGTATGAAAACTTCAGTCAGCATTTGACTCAAATGATAAAATGTATTTGCTGACAAGGTCATTGTATCGACCATAGAACTTACGAAATGATCTTTAAACGAAACTGCTAAAATTCTTGTCTCATCAACTTGTTTGTCAATAATTAACCTCGTTTTAGAAATTGATCATACGTAGAGCATGCTCTTGCGTATCGAATCAACTGAAATATATAAACTTTGTGATGAAAGTACATTGCTGCATAAGAAAGGGAAGTTGACGATAGAAAAGTTAAAGTCATCACGTTTATCATAGAACTTGGTTGTTAGATTACCATTACAGTCTTTTTCAAGTAATATATCCAAATATGAAACAGATGTGTCAGACTCTGTGGTATTTTATTGTGTTAACATCTTCACTCACCAAGGGTTTCTGATCCTCTTCTCTCCTTAGCTCAAAGCCTGATGTTGAGGATAATAACAGATCACATGTACAGATCCTTATATAGGTAGCAAAGATATTGCATTTAATTCTTATATACTTGATAATGATACTTCATAGTCAAGTTTATTACTGTAATTCTAGTTTGTTAAATATCTTCAATAGAAAATGCATGAATTCATTTTTTCGGTATTTTTTTGTATTGCATCAAGAACATCACCATAATAGCGACATATTTGTCTGAGAAAGATAACAGCCATATTTTCTCTAAAGAAAAGAAGGATAAGTTTCAAAGGAAATAATAATTAAATTGTCCATATACTCCGGAAAAGATATACCAGAAATTTGATGAAGAAAAGTGATGTATAGATTTAAAATTGAGGAGAAAGACTGAAAAACCCAATAAAAATCATTTCTTGTGTTATCATGTCAGCAAGAGTATGAAGTGGATAGGATCATGACTTTGTCAAAAAAGAGCTGAATTGGCGTCCGGATACACTATCTTTAGTGCACTGGAAATGAAACTTTGAAATATCGTATCTCTACGGAAATAGCAATTTTCTAAATTTACTAAATTAGGCTAGAATAACATAGTGCAAATTGCTTTTCTAATACAGAAATCAGATCGACAAATGATCAAAGGCTATTTAAAGTCTTCTTTTGTATAAAATTCCTGACATGGATTAATTACTAACATTGTGCCCTAAACAGTGTAACCTGTTATATTATTTATTGTTGAGAATGAAAGTTTATTGTCAATTAGAATAAGTAACATGTACATGCTCATATTCATATTTATTTCTCTTTCAACATTCAGTGTAGGAGACCAATGATAGATTAGCTAATATAAAGTGATGCGAGAAAATCGATCAGAAGAAATCAGATCACCTTGACACAGGCAATACTCTCATTACCAAGTTTGTTTTCTTTTTGTCAAAAAAAAAATCCTCCTTTATAAGCTCTATATGACTTCATATTCCGTCTAAATTAATATTGATCTACCAATAAAACACGTGTCCTACTGAAACGAAATACCCTCAATAATTTAAAGCAGTAAACATAAATCTTTATATCTGATATTGTAATCACCTTCTTATTTCAGTCAATATACGTTATTTCTAACCATAATCAACAAATGGTCTCATTTATTCAAACAGCAATCCCAACAAATTACAGTTTCATTGACATATTACACCTGATATCAAGTAGAGGCATACAAAACTTGATTTCAGGTACTTACTTAGTCAGTAATCAATGACTTCGTGCTATTTATTTGAATTTTTGCGCAATTTAGGCCAGGAAATTGGTTAAAGATATCGACATTCATGGCAATTCCCATTGGTTTTATATCTTTCATTATGACAAGGTCATCTTAAAACTATATACATATTTAAAAATGCTCTATGCCATTTTGTACATCAGCGTAATAATAGCTTTCATTCTTGGAACAGGAAATATGATTCAAAAATACCTGAATAATCGGCACATATATTTATAACATCTCACTGTAATTACGTATTTTTAATATTAACTTTATTTGTTTCAATTGCAAGTTTGCTTTTTGTGTTCTTTATAAATACCAGGTAGCACAACTTAAAGCAAGTTTCTGGTACTGCAGTTTTGCCCAATATTACTACGAAACTTCTCGAGTCTTGTCATAAACTATAATGATAACGAATAGCATTGAAGCCCAAAAGTCCATTCAGACAATACATTTCTAGAGCAGAGTAAGCACAGACGTCTTAAAATTAGAGGCGGAATTAGATGCCATGGAGGAGAAAGTACCCACTACCGACCGAGCTGTATGCTCCTTGTCATCGATCTAGAAAAACGGGAAAATCCGTAGACAATTCAGTGTGTAAATGATGGCCCAACAATTAGTATGAAAAACATTCATCAGCATTTGACTTAAAGATACGTTGTATTTGTTGACATGGTCCTTGTATAGACCATAAACTTTTAAAATGATGCTCTTGATATCCTTGTTTGATCAACTTTTTTGTCAATAGATTTCCTCGTTGTAGAAATTGTTCATAGGTAGAACATGCTCTTGCGTATCAAATCAGCTGAGAGACTTAAATCCCATATGCAGCTGATAAAGGTATATTGCTACTTAAGTAGGGGAAGTTGACGATTGGAAAGTTGAAGTCATCGCATGCATTTGATAAAGTTTTGTTGTTAGTTTAACTTTTATGAAAATTTTAGGTTTACAATAACAACTGTACATAAAAAGTATAACCTGAGGAACACCTGTGGAAGTTGTTGTGAGGAAAAAGAAATGCTAAGAAATGCTCTCATACTGCTTATATAGTGTTACCTGTTATCCTATATATTCACTGCATACATTTTGCACTCCATCCTTCTATATTTTGGAAATCAGTTGTATTATATCCATGTATGATTTCAATGAAAAACCATTCTAAGCAGTATGTATATGTTCTTGGCAATATCATGTGTACTGTACTACTGGTATTTCCTCATCCATTTGAACTCATGGTCCTAACATTCAGTCATTAACAACAAATTTCCGAAATTGACTCTTTATTCTGTTCTCACATTAAACTGTTATAAAGATAAAAATCTGGTTGAATTTGTTCTGCTTTATACATTTGTAAAATTCTGTCTATACAAAGTGTCAGCAACAAAAAAACTCAGCCCTATTTGATAACTTCATAACAAGTCGTTTATGTGAGATAACAATGTGACTCTCTAAAATGTATGCTTCATTGATTAAAATCCTCGAACAAATCGCATGCTAATGGAGTAATATGATAGTAAAGACAAATCTATAAACGGTGTAACGCCTGCAAGATCATTTTCAAAAGAAATCCTTCAAAGATCATACACAAAAACAGGGATTACACCGACCACGGGCTGTTACATAAGTTTGGAGACCAAAAGATGGCCAGGAGTATGTCGATAACTGCTTCCGTTAATGCATTCGATGTGATTTGTAGAAATGAAGCTTTTTTTTTTTATCAACGATTGATTCCAGTAAGGGAATTTCACTCTCCCAAATGTACCTCCACAACACCAGTGTTGGATTTCAATTTCTATTCGTCCAATTGTTTTTTCCTTCTCTAAATCAACTTTATTAATCATTTAAAAATTATTATTGTATTGCAGTTCTATTCGTGGAAAATTGAAATTGATAGTGAACCAAGATATATTTATCAAAATGACTCGAGTTCTTTATTTAAATTGTGACTAAAAATTCATTAATCATTGGAAATTGATTTTACTATTGCACAATTACTTGAACTGATCAGTAGGGAATTCGGATTTTAACAAATAATTCAAAATGTATTATAATAACAATGTATTTTTGTCATTCTATATTTTATCACTTGGAAGATGAATCCCTTTAGATAAAAGTTTTTAGGCGAAACAATGTGCTTTAGTTTTTTTCAAAATAAAAAAAAAAAAATCAATTTTGAGAATTACAAACAAATCTCAGCTATCAGCTAATTATTTTAGTCCACGTAAAAATTTAATTGTTATTTGTATATTTTCGATGCGTATCTATGTGTACTTTACTGGAGGAATTTTCTTTTTAAAGATACGGTAGTAAACAACAAAGTAAAAAAACCTTTTGCTCTTCTTTATTGTACTTTACATATGAAAGGTTAAGCATATTTAGAGTCCAGATCTATTTAACTTGATTTTTTTCGTAAGGCATCTTTGAAGGCTCCAGGAAGCATTTTTAAAAGCAACAACATTTAATTTGACTAACTTTAACTCTTGTCACAGTGAATTAACGCCATTATCAAATTAGTTTTTGTTTGAATAAGTAAAATCAAAACAATTCGGTAAATGGACCCAAAGGAATAAACATGCACAAACCCTGCTGCTATTGGATGCGTATCAGACATATCGGAACCTTAGTGCATACTTTCGTGTACTGTCTATAAATAAATGATAATAATCAACGATTACGTAGATAAAATGAGGCCTATTCAAAAAGTTTCTCATTAAAAAATGGAGTGATATAAATTTAAGAATGTGACTGTTGTGAATTCCTTTTTCAAGTCGACAAGTATTTTCAAAATCTAGTTTATTAGAGTATATTTCAGAAAACGCTTTTTTGTATTATACGATGTATAAGTTCTTTCAAGGGTTGAAGTTTTATTAATTTATGAAAACTTTAAATTCTTGCATTTCGATATTTCAGCTAGCTTCAGCTTGCCACTTTAAAACAAGAGCCGAAATACAATAACACAACTTTGCTTCAAATCTTTATTTTCATATGACTTTCCGGGAAGGTTTTTATGATTCTCATCAAAAATATGAACTAATCTATCTGCTGATTGTATAATTTAATTTATTTGTTTATTAATGGGGATTATTTTTGGGGTGTGTGTGTGTTCGAATTGCATGATCTTATGTCGATTAATGTTTCTTTCGTAATAATTTCATTGTCTATAATTACAGGTCCCTCCCGCTGGGGATCGTACAACACGGAGTGGGAACTGTGTGATAAAGGCCGCTTCCAGTCTCCCATTGACATCAATCCGGCCAGTATTGTATTTGATCCCAATCTCCAGTCCCTTAACATTACAAACGAAAAGGTGAGCTAGGCTAACAAAACATAACCACACATGATGCTTCATGATACAGTGTAAATATTATCGACAAGACAAAGTCTAGAGGTGACATTTGAATCGCTCTTTAATTGTTTATTATGAAGTATTATGGTAATAGTTTTATAGTTCCAAAGGGATGACTGTATTTAATTAATTGTTGATTAAAAGAAGTTTGTACTTTTGCACGAATCAATGAAAAAGAACAAACGCAATAATAATAGCAAGCATGATTAATCATACTACAAAGCTACTATAGTATTCCATTTCATTTTAAATTCAAGGGCGTTTTGTCATGCATCTATTAAAATTAACGTATATTGTTCATCATAAGTGTTGGTTCTCCTGAAATCCTTACATTTCTCACAATCCATATGCTTTAATGCGACATATTTTAGAGACGATCACATCAAAGGTTCCATCAAAATCAATAGGGAAAAATAAACGTTCTAAAGTGGGTATTCTCTGTGCACAGCTAAAACTGCCAATGAAGAAATATACTCTTTTTAAAAGTCAGATTTAATTTGTCTCATTAAAGAAAATCACAATAATTTTGAAAAAAATATTTTTAATTCTATATTTAGATAGATGGTGTATTGATGAATACAGGACACGACATAAGAGTTTCCTTGAATAAAACACACGGTCATCGGTTAAATATTACGGGAGGGCCTCTATCGTACAGATACTCAGTTTTCCAAATCAAACTTCACCTAGGTACAGAAGACAACAAAGGCTCTGAACATCAAGTGGCGGGAAAGTCTTTCCCTGCGGAGGTAAGGTAATATAATTTTCTATGACGTCACAATGAGCTAAAAATAACATCAATGCTTGTATTTTTATAGATTTGTATATTAATATCTTTCCTAGATACAACTTTTAGCCTATAATTCAGAGTTATATGCAAATGTGACACACGCCAAAAAGTCTCCGTATGGAATTGCTGTGGTGGCAATATTGGCAGCTGTGAGTAGTTTACATTTTCATTTTTCAAAGTCTTTTTCTTCGTACTTATGTAGAATCTAACACATCCACCACAAGTTTTTGATTAATTTTCAGTTAAAAGATCTTGGAAATCAGCATTTTAGTGTTTTGGTGAGAGCAGCAACAAAACTCAATAGTAAAGGTACTTTTTAGCTCAAAACTTTGTCTCTGTGCGAAAAACTTTTCACATTTTTGACTTCTTCAAAAGGTTTTAAAACTTGGTACAAAGCATCCTTGGGTAACGGGAAGTTTTAATTTTTAAAATGAAGAGCCAAGTCCTTCCACAAGGGGAGATAATCAAGAAAAGACAAAAATGGTGTGGCCTCATTAAAAAATCTTCTCAAGAACCACTGGGCCAGAAAAGCTGAAACTTATGTGGAAGCATTCTGGTGTAGTGTAGATTTCTAAATTGTTCAAATCATGAACCCCGGGGATAGGGCAGGGCCACAATAAGGAATCAAAGTTTTACATTGAAATATTTAAAAAAAAAAATTAAAATCTTCTCAAGAACCACTGGGCCAGAAAAGCTGAAACTTTTGTGGAAGCATCCTGTGGTAGTGTAGATTTTAAATTGTTCAAATCATGACCGCGGGGGTAAGTTACCACAAGGAATGGCAAAAAAAAAATATATAATAAAAAACTTTAAAAATCTTCTTCTCAGGAACTACCGGGCCAGAAAATCTGAAACTTATGTGGGAGCATTCTGGGGTAGTGTAGATTTTAAATTGTCCAAATTATGACCCATGTGGTAGGGTGGGGTCATAATATGTATTACAAAGGGGAAATTTGGTAAAGAACAGCATGGTCGAAGCTACTCAGGTGAGCGATGTGGCCCATGGGCGTCTTGTTAAAAATTCATGTCTTAAAAAATACCTCCAAAAGAGCAAATAATTACATAAATGTTAAATGAATTTGTACACATTTTATTTGAGTAAATGATTACATAAAAGATAAATGAATTTGTTCACATTTTGTTGTTGCAGGATTGTCTACAGATCTTTATAAATTTTCCGTGTCCGAAATTTTGCCAACCACCATGACCTACATGACATATGAAGGGTCTCTAACACAGCCTGGTTGCCAAGAGACAGTCACTTGGGTCATACTTAACAGACCTATGTATATTTCCAGTTACCAGGTAATGGCAAAAAACTTGTTAGACTGATTCTGTATCATTTTAATTTCTAGCAAACACGAGACTTATAAAAAGTCACTGCAACAAAATAGATTTGTTTGTTTGTTTTCTCCATATGAATCAAGATATTTTATCATATTAAATTATTTCTTATGGAAGAATTTTCAAACTTTAAAATCATATGAAGATATGAATCTATCAAATATGATTAGTAATGAACCCAATTTTGAAGGAAACATACAAAAAATACAAGTACTTACTAGAATTCCCGTGTCTGTCTTTTGTATTTATATTCTGTTAAGCCAACATAAGTCATAAAACTTTTTTTTCTTAACAGTTAGAAAAACTTCGGGAACTAACAAGAGGAAATGGAATAGGAGATCCGCTCATGGAGAACAATTTTAGACCAGTGCAGCCAGATAATAGACGTTTAGTGCGGACCAACATCCCAATAAAAGAGGTAAGTTAAAGCAACAAATCCAGATTTATTTTGGTAAATGTAATTAAAGCAAACAAAAGCCACTTTAAAATTAACTGAATAAAAAAGAAAACACTCTGAACTTTATTTGGATGATAAAGCAATTCTTACTTATCTAATAAATGAATTGCTGTGAAAATTATTCTAGCATATATTATGGTCAGTAACATTTTAAAAATCCCAAGTTTTGAATTGTTATCCTTCACATATTGATAAACTTGTATAAAGTTTTTTTTAGAATGTAAGAAAATGGCTTTTTTTGTCTAAAATTTATCCCTAACAACTGTTTTAGTAAATTTTACTAGCAGTGAAATTAGGCAAATAGTAGTTTTCTTATGGTTAAATAATGTCTTAAACTCTTCCTAATCAACAAAAATTCCAATGTTTTTTATAAGTGCATTATTTTTATGATAATTAGACAAAGGAATTCAAAATCTTATAAAAATGAAAAAAAGTACATGTATACTGTACGAAAAATAACTTCATCAAATCTGCAATGAATGATGGTTTTAGTTTAATGCCAGAACACGCCCTGCAACATATGTACTTTAAGGCAATTTAAAGGACAAAGAAAAATAAATATTAGATGAGCCACCTAATTAACAAAATACTAGCCCTCTTTTGAAAATCACAAATAAATTCAGGGGGAAAAAGAATGCACGTTTCAAGTGGTTTCATCAAACATTTATATTCTTTCAGAATAATTTCACTCCTTTCCAAGGTTGATTCAGAAATGTTAAAGATGGGTTTTCGTATTCTCAAGCTCTTTGTTTCTTTTCTTTTGACAGGAGCCAGACTGTACAATAAAGAAAACGACCAGTTATATTGGTAAGAACTGTTAAGCATATGTGTGCATAGAATATCAATTTTTTTCTCTAAAAAGCATTTGTAATAGAATTAAGAAGATCGATTCATCTTTGATTTTTTTTTTCTTATTTCAGTTAATAATAAATTAAAGCCAAGTTAATAATCAAACGTGAGTATTGTTACCTTATACAAAGAGGTATATTAATTTTTAAAATTGCGAATATCAGTGAAAATGTTTTTGTTTTTTTTTTTTAATTTTTTTCCCTTTATTTTTGGTTTAGTCCTTGATACCCCAAATTTGCAAAACTTGTGAATGATGCATAGTTACAGAAAATAATGTTAAAATTCCATTTTATTTACTTACAGAATAGTGTGCTGCTACAATTGAAGGGCTTCCATATATATATATTTGTATCCTGTTACACTAGTTTGTCTTCCAGAGTGTTTAGTAAATTGAGCTTCAAAATGTTGTTTATGCTGAGCTGGAGTGTTCATAGAGAAAAAAAATCACGGACTTCAAATGCAGTCTTAGATGAGTACTTTTTATGTTAATGTGCAAGTCATTATTTCTTTAACTATTATTATATAAAATAAAACTGTCAATTTTTTGTGTTAAAATAAAGAATAAAGCTTTCAATGTACAGGCTTGGATAAAACGTAAACTTTGGAATAAAAGCAGATTAGTAAATATTTTATTGCGTTTGTTTTTTTTTTAAATCAAGTCCGCATTTCAATGGACCGTATCCTTTGATAAGTTCAAATTACTGGGGTTTATGTGTGTAATTAAACATTTTCTTCCGAGTAATTTGAGTTAAAGAAGAGGTAATAATGAAAGATAAGAAAAGTTCCTCACAGTGAAGATGATACTTGAGGTCAAAGGAATTCAATATGCATGATATTCTTTTATAATGACTGATAGCAAAAAAAAAAAGACAAAAAACCCCCCAGAAACCCTTATCGAAAAAAGGCATGAAGAATATCAAAGGTCAGTTAGGATTCGGTTCTGTTTGAATTTTTTTTTTATCAAAACGTGGTTCTTCTTTCAAAGCACTAACCACAAAAAGGAAATAGCATTTGGAAAAGTACTGTGATACATTGGTCTATTTAATAAAATCATTAATGCTGCTTGAAAAGTGAGATTTTTAGGGAGCTTACATGATAGACCATCTTCAGTGTCTTGTAAAATTATTAATACTGTATTCGGGGTTATTTTCGCCCTTTTAATCTTGCAAACAATTTTGCCCCGTCTTTAATTCGCCCAGTTAAACTTTTATTTATGAAATTATACTGTATTTTTCGTTACTTCGCCCCGTTTTAAATTCAACCAAGGCTAGGGCGAAAGGGGCAAAAATAAAACGGGGCGAAAATTTCCCGAAAATCTTTATACTAGTATTCAAACATATATTTTTTATCATCATTTGTTTTATTACTTGAGAATATATTCGCATTAGTAAAGAAAACATACATTCGCTACAAAATTCAAACAATTAAACATATGGATATAACGAACAGTATTCAAGATCAAGAATCTCTAATACAATACAAAATAGGAGCAGAGCAAACACAAACCTTCAAAACATCAGAGGCGGGATCAGTTGCCATGGACGTGTGAGCATTCCCTGCCGACCGGTCACACCCGCCGTGTGCTACTTGTTATGATCGGAAATGACGGAAAATCCGTCGTCAATTCAGTGTATAAATAATGGTCTAGCAAATATTATGAAAATGTAAGTCAGCATTTGACGCAGTTGTACTTGCTGGCAAGGTCATTGTATCGACCATAGAATTTACGAAATGATGACTTTAAACGAGACTGCTGATTTTTTTTTTCATCAACTTGTTTGGCAATAATTTACCTTGTTTTAGAAATTGTTCATACGTAGAGCATTCTCTATCAACTGTGAGATATAAACTCCATATGCAGTCGATGAAGATATATTGTTGCATAAGTAAGGGAAGTTGACGATTGAAAAGTTGAAGTCATCCCGTTTATCATAGAGCTTGGTTGTTTAATTACCATTAACGTCTTTTTCCAGTAAAATATCCAAATACAAAACAGATGTGTCAGACTCTGTGGTATATTTTATCTCAAGTTCACCAGGATATATCGTATCAACATTAGAATGGTACTGAGTAGTTATACCATTGTTAATTGACAATATGTTGTCTATATATCTTAATGTCGAGTTCAAGACCATGGCAAGTGTTTTCTTCTTTTCACACAAAGTCTGCTTCATATAAATACAAAAACAGGGCAGCTAATAACAAGGCGCAATTGGTACCCATGGGAATTCCAAAAGATTGTTGGAAGACCTGGTCTCCAAAAGCAATACAGATATTGTCAATCAGAGAATAAGGCATCTTCTTAATGTCAACTTCAGAGTACTTGTGTGAACAATCCGAATGTTTTCAACAAAATAATTTTGCAAATGACCAATGCCAAGGTAAGTCAATTTACGAGTTCCATTTTTATTGAAAAAGCCGCTGACGATGATATGAAAATGATGAAAAAGCCTAGACTTTAGTTTATCATGTGGAATAAAGTTGTGTATAAAGTTGAAAAGTCATTAGTTTTTAAGCTGTTGATTTAAGTAAAATCCCGTGATTTCAAATTGTCTAAAAGTTCCTTGGATTTTTTAAGTATCCACATCTGATTTACGCCAATTCTTGAATATAGGCCTATTGTTGCACAGTACTCTTTAAGTTTCTCCTTCACTACTGTTAATATCTTAGCGAGGAGTGAATAAAGAGGCTTGCTTGAACATTTATTGGAACTGAATTTATTTGTTAGTAAGGATTTTTATTAGGGATGGGTATCGCCAAAAATTTCGTATCGCGATATATCACGATTTTTTCCGACAATATCACGATAACATCATGATATTTTTAAAAGCAGCTTTTACAATGATTTTATATGAAAAGTCATTATTTTTCTTAAAAAATTTGCTTGAAAAACAAAATTTTATTTTCTTGAAATATTTATGTATATAAAATAAACTATGTTTGGACGGTAAGATGCCGTTCTTTTCACGTTTTACAACATTTTTATACTTTCTGTAATTGTAATTTGAAAAGATTAAACAAAAAAATGAATAATTTCTGGACTTTATAATATGTACATAAATACCGGTATTTAGGTCTCCGTATCACGATACGTATCACGAAACAAAAAATCGCGATATACCGGTATACCGATAAAATCGCACATCCCTAATTTTTATGAAGTTTCGGAATCCAAAATAGATATGGTAGTTTAAATTCATTGTGGTTCTTCGGGATATTTAAAATATCCAAAACTGACATATGATTTTGAAGATTTTCTTCCTTAGAAAGGGAACTATGAGTATAAGTTGGATTACCACTTGGAGAATTAAATCCAAAGTCTTCTAAAATACAATTTGTATAATGAACTTTACAAATGAAGACAATGTTGTTACCTGCTTTGTCACCAGGGACCAGTAGCCTGGTACCCGAGGCCTTCCGAAGTGCGTGCTTGCACTTCGGAAGGCCTCGGGTACCAGGCTACAGGGACCAGTACGTACCGATCATGTAATCTATCGAATTCTTTTTTTTTACTTCTGGATATTGAATACAGGATAAATGATTTTCATGATGGTCCCTCAATCTTTTAATACGCAATTGCTTTGCACAGAGTTTGATATTAGGACACATTTAAGAGAATAATCATTAAAGCAACCTGAAAACATTTACTCTGAAGGCTTTCTCTAATCATACAATGAAATAACTTATTTTCGTGAAGATTTAAAACTTGATGTTTTCGAGATATGATGAGACCCACGCAATGTAAAATTTTTCATTAAGCTACCAACAGTTATTATCCATTGGAAAGTTGGCTATGGCAAAATTGAAGTATATTATCTCGTTTGTCATACAATTTAGTTGTTAGTTGCTCTTAAGTATTGGATATATGCCGAAGACAGTTCTGTATTAAAAAATATCAGACAGTTTGAGGCCTGTTAGGGCCGAAAACTGTCTGATATTTTTTAATACAGAATTGTATGAGGCATATATCGTACTTAAAACATTGCTTTTGAGTTACCTGAGACAGTCCGATATTAGAACAAAAAAAGAAAGGTGTCAATGACCACTGATCGAAGCAGCAGGCTTAAATGAAAAGTACTTAGTATTTAGGGATTTGCCTACACCGAAGAAGGTATTTGAAAGAATTTGAAAAGGAGAGTGGGGACAATTTTTTTCTTCATTAAAACATACACGGAGATTAAATAAGTGCAACGAATTCTCATACAGACAATCTAGTGAATGATGAATATGGAATGGAATGGAAATTGCCGATATGAAGAATATTTACAGAAAATTAAGCAGATGCTAAAGGTATACTGGTCCATTTCATTTTTTATGATAAACGTCTTCATCTTTGATTTTGATGTTCCATTACAAAAAAACAAACATAATCAATGATCCAGGAGTTTTGAGGGAAACGTTGAAAAACTTCCAACTTTTTTCAAAATTTGTTGCGAATCTTTCAAATTCAGTACATTAATTATCAAATACTAGACGTAGTTACCTTTATTTTGCATCTAGGCATTTTCCTTTTAATAAGAAAAATGAAATTTATTATGAATTTATTTTTGGGGCTTTGAAAGTTTATTGGCTTCTCTGGTGACCCCCAGTGTGCCCACTCTTTTCCAATTTTAAAAAGTTTATTAGAAGGTTACCTTTTTTTGTGGTTTTTTGTTTGTTTTTTTTTTATTTGCATTATCTGGTCTGTGGCATGTTCTTCTTCCTATCACAATATATTCGGTGTAATTGAAAGTTTAATTTTATTTTAATTTTGCAATTATGTAAGATCAATGTTTCTAAATTATCATTCTATGTGAGAAATTTAAATTGCTGTTTATAAAATTATCACACTTTTCTTTTGTTCAGTAGCAGTCCAATTTTGAAGGATATCAGTACTGAGACAGTCTGATATTATGATTAATATCAGACTGCTCACTAATATCGGACAGTCACAGGTAAATTTTTAGACTGCAAGAACAAAGGAATGACATCACAGCAATGTTTTAATCCTCTATAATCAGTAAAATATTAAACTGTTAAACAGATGTTGCAGACTCTGTTCTGCTTTTATTTCATGTTTACTGGGATATTTCCAATCGACATATGATATGAAGGTAATTATATTGTTAATTGATCAAACATCGTTCATATATCTAAATATCGAATGTTGAAGGCAAGATCAAAAGTTTTCTTCCCATGTAGAAATATTTTAATTCCAATTCATAATTAAGGAAAACTTCGAAAAGTAACACAAAGGTGTTCTGGTAGTGAGTCAACAGGTGACTTTTTATAATCATAATATCTCTGAGCATTTGACACCTTTATATTACTTTAAATATTACTATATGTCAATCAATAAATCAAATTAGTATTTATTTATTCATTTATAAATAAAAAAAAATAAATATACATGAATTCACTAAATAGTTACTATTCCAAATGCTAGAAGAAACTGAACTTGAAAAAACCAAAAATTACAGTCTGGTGTACGTGCTTAAATAAATATGTATGGTAAGTCTATTTTACAAATGAAAACATCAAACGCATTTCGGTGTTTATTGAGTTAAAGAGAAACAGAAAGAGGAGAATACAGCAACATATATATATGATAGTACATTAACTTAAAATAATAAAAAGAACGAAATACTTGTGTTCTCTACGACCATCAAAGAAATACCAAAACACGGCATACAAGGAAAGATAACCTGTTTTCCAACATATGCATTGAATTTTTATTTTTAGATGACATCGGTCCTATAAAATAACATGGACGTGTAGAAAGGTTGAATTCCGCACGGTGCTCATTTGTTGGCACTGACGGGTGCTGTTATACGACCGACGAAATGCAAAAATAAGAATTCATTAATTATATTTTCATTCCCTTATTTCCTCTGTTTACATATTTTATCCAAGCTTTTTGTTACCAGTTTACCACCTTTCAAAACTGGTAAATATTGGTAGGGAAAATGAACAGTTCATTTAAAAAAAACAATTGCTATATTTTTACAACAATTTAATAGGATATTTTATTTGTAATAAAATTGAGACAAAAAATATACAGATAGGTGTTTCTAGTGCATTGAAAGTGTACATTGTAAGTAGTTCCTTACTTAAATTCCTTCATGTCATGGAAGGTTTTGGGTGTGTAGTAGGTAGTTGAATGTTGGAGATTTCCAAATGATTATTTCCAATACTTTACTTTAATTAAGCGAGCGTTTTTATTTTCAAGCCATAAAAATCTTTTTTAAGGAAATCAAATTGGAGATATAGGGTTAACAAACAGTAATCAAGCGCAACAGTCCATATAAGGTTTTTCCACCCTCACAATTTTTATGGTTCAAAGTACAAAAATTGCATTTATTTTCATTCAATATAGTTTAAATTTACTAATTATTGCAAAAAATGAATAGGTCGCCATATTATTTAAGATAGGAGACATAAATAAACAGAAGCGTATTTTAACATTAAAAAATGTACATTTTTTGTAAACATTATGAAAGAAATTATGTGAAAACTGGTTCAAATGCATAAGTCTGATGCTGAAAGTTTCGAAATACTTGCTACTTCTAAGATACTTTTTAGTTGTGACTACCAGGGAAACTTTTTTACTTAAGAAGTACAATAAAGAAAATGCCTGAATGAAGATAACTGAGGAGGAGTTATTGCTCTTGTCAATATTATTTAAAGATTGAATAAGAAAAGAAAATAAACATTTATAAAACTCTTTTATTTAACAATATTTATCATTACACCTATTAAATAGCATTCTTATAAAAACTATTGTTCTACTTGGCATGAATTTAACTAAATAACAGTTTTTGCAAAAACCTATGACATCATAAGAGAATGGAAATACCTTAAACACTAAAAATCAGGAGCAGAGCAAACACAGGTTTAAGTGGCACAAACGCTGAGATCAGTTTCCAACGAAGAGTAAGCCCTCTCTGTCGACGGGTTACACCTGCCGTGATGTTCTCATCATGATCAGGAAAACGGGACAATTGTGTAACTTATGACCTATGAAAAACCTCAGTCAGCACTCGACTTAACGATAGATTGTATTTGATGAAAAGGCCATAGAACTTGCAAAATAAAGAGTTTAAAAAAAAAAAAAAAAAAAAAAAAAACGAGACTCATTCTTGTTTCATGAACTTGTTTGTCAATAGTTTCGTTTTAGAAAATGTTCGTACATGGAAGCATGTTCTTTTGAATCATATCAACAGGAGGATATAAATCCTATCTGCATGTGAAGAGGCCATTTTCCTATGTAAGAAGTTAAAAGTTGAAATCATCATATTTATCATTATTAAGTGTTGTTGATATGTAACTTTAAATGTCTTTTTTTTCTAGTGAAATATTCAAGTATAAAACAGATATATCGGATATTGTGGTATCTTTATTTAAAATTCAATTGGATTTATCGAGTTGAGATTATAGTTTGTTTGTTGTTTAACTCCCTCTTGAGAATCTTTCACACAGAAATATTTTAAATGCATTGATGCAGAAGTCCATATTATGCTTCTTTGGGATCTGTAGCCGAACCCCAATATGAAACTGAAACACTTTTATGTCTTCTAATGCTTATAGGCAAGATCACCGCAGCTTGTTTTTGCTAATTTTGTAAAGTCAAATAAAACACTTTGATGTTGATGAAAAATGTCATTTATTAAAATGACGGTATAAATGTGAACAATTTAACAAACAAGAAGGGGGATCAGATTCACAAGCTTTGCTTATCAGTTACGTAAAATATGATAATGTTTGATCCCCCAAAACTAACTAGAAAAAAGTATCTGTAAGACAAGACAATCAAAACATCATATTAAAAAGTTAGCAAATAGATGGCACATCAAAATAAAATAGGCAAACATCACAAGAAAAAGTTGGCAAAAAGATGGTACATCAAAGACACAAACAAAACCTCAAAAGAAAAAGTTTGCAAAAAGATCATAATCAAAACCAAATACATGAAAGCGTAAAACAATTGAGTAAAAACTATAATATAATATAAATTTTACATGACACATTAATGATCATATTAAGGGATAGGAATGTTGGGGTGGAGGTGGGTCTTCAAAATAGACGTGCTTCATGTTAGCGGTGGTGAGCGCGCGAGTGTGAATGACTCGCTGAGCTGACCACGTGACCTTACACATTCCATTACAATTAGGCAAGGCGTGGATCTGAGAATTTTCACAATTTACTAACGTAAATGTTTCCGAAAACCTCCAAACGAATTATCGCATTAAATACATAAATACAATTATTATTCTAATAATTGCTGTTTCAAATAATTGAAGTAATGAACACAACTTCAATCTTGACTTTAATTCCAGAATATGTATGTCCAGTACTGAATTCTGAGGTATATATTTCATTTTTGTTTTGTTTAAGATGATTCTGACAGTTTTTATGTATTGGATATATGCCGAAGACAGTTCTGTATTAAAAAATATCAGACAGTTGAAGGCCGAAAACTGTCTGATATTTTTAATACAGAATTGTATGAGGCATATATCGTACTTAAAACATTGCTTTTGAGTTACCTGAGACAGTCCGTTATTAGAACAAAAAAAGAAGGGTGTTAATGACCACTGATCGAAGCAGCAGGCTTAAATGAAAAGTACTTAGTATTTAGGGATTTGCCTACACCGAAGAAGGTATTTGAAAGAATTTGAAAAGGAATCTTGCGAATCTTTCAAATTGAGTACATTAATTATCAAATACTAGACGTAGTTACCTTTATTTTGCATCTAGGCATTTTCCTTTTAATAAGAAAAATGAAATTTATTATGAATTTATTTTTGGGGCTTTGAAAGTTTATTGGCTTCTCTGGTGACCCCCAGTGTGCCCACTCTTTTCCAATTTTAAAAAGTTTATTAGAAGGTTACCCGTTTTTTGTGGTTTTTTGTTTGCTTTTTTATTTGCATTATCTGGTCTGTGGCATGTTCTTCTTCCTATCACAATATATTCGGTGTAATTGAAAGTTTAATTTTATTTTAATTTTGCAATTATGTAAGATCAATGTTTCTAAATTATCATTCTATGTGAGAAATTTAAATTGCTGTTTATAAAATTATCACACTTTTCTTTTGTTCAGTAGCAGTCCAATTTTGAAGGATATCAGTACTGAGACAGTCTGATATTATGATTAATATCAGACTGCTCACTAATATCGGACAGTCACGGGTAAATTTTTAGACTGCAAGAACAAAGGAATGACATCACAGCAATGTTTTAATGAAGGAGAGCATAGCCACTTTTGGTATAAATAACTCAAGAGCAATGGATATACAGGAGGATTCTAGAAATTTTTAGAAAATGGTGAAACAGAGGCAAGAGACCTCTGAAATATTGAAAAAGGAAATTTTAACTTGCATTACCATTGGAGCTAAAACTTTAACTGCTTAGTGATGCAAGACAATTTCTCTTTATCGTGATGATCAATGAACCAATTGAATATTACTGAGTAATTAGATGTAATAAGCAGAAAAGTAAACATGATTTTTTAAATTTATTTTTAATCATTTCGACATATCTGGCAAAAACACAACTCCATCATAAACACACATAGGTCATGGCACATAGAAAAAATATGTTGACAATCAACCATACAGAATTTGACCACCATTTGTACCATTGCAGCTTTATTAAAAGTATCAAAAAATCAGAGAGCTATTTCTCTGATAATAAATTTTAATGCAGTATGTACTGATAAAAAATATTCCTTCTTGAATTAATTCTGATTTCTACTTGGCATAATTCCTCAAAACAAACTTTTTCTGTCTAACTCACACATAGACACATGTTAAACACATACAGCGTATTAGTCAAAATATTCCTAGTATTTCTCATGTTTTTTTATGTTTATAAATTCAATTTTACTTTAAGATCAATTATGTTACTTCACAGGACATGTTTATTACACAGTCCATGCTCTCCTTTGACTCTTGCTTATTCTCAAGCTTCATTTCTCTTTTTATACAGCAAATATTAATTAGTATTGCACATTACCAAAAGGATCAGCAAAATAAATGTCATTATCTCCCAGTAAAGTGACCATTCTAGCTACAGAATCTTTTTATGTTCTTTGGCTTCAAAGATAATTTTATTTGGAATAGAAGTCCACAAATTAAAACGTTTCACAGGCCAATTCATGATCTTATCAAGTAGTTTCTTTAAATAATCATCACAAGCATTTTGTTCTAATGTTTCATCAACTTTTGATTTTTTTTTTTCATTTTGAAACAGTATTTAGAATATATGTTATACTAAAATCGATGTCCATTTCCTTAAACAAAGTGTTGATGGTCCAGGTTTTTGCCAGTCAAAATAGTTTCAAGATCCTGTCTTGTCAAATCCATGGAAACGTTTTCTGTGAAGGTTATTATTGAACTTGCAATCTGAAAAAAAAAATGAATTTCCAAAGAATTAAACCCAAAGCAAATCAAAACAATTTTGTCATAAATTCAATTTTCAACTACAGTACATCAATGTTAAATTACATTTCAAATCCTATAAAAGGTTAGAAACTCATTCTCAATTACACGCATACATGTATATACTTATTCTTGTTTTACTTTATTTTTCCCTTCTTCTGAAAAACATTCTCCTCAAACTTCAATTGGCATCATAACAGATGATTGTCAATCAAAACTTGATCATTAAGTCCTATAAAAGAAAACTTCCAATCTGGTGCTGGTCATACTGAAACAGGATACTGGATCAGTTAAATCCATCATCATCTAAGAGATGATGATAATGTTATTAAATGATCACTTACTTTATATTGAAATACTTGGATAATGATACACAAGAAATATAAACGAGATACTGGCTGTTGATTCAACAGAGAACAACTAGTTCATAAACAAAACTATCAGAAAACTATACCAAACACAACATATATACAATTGTATGAGTAGAAACGATTCAATTTACAAACAGAATGCATAACTGAGGTATAAAATTATATACTGAGTCTGAACTTTTTAAAATAATCTTCAATGATGAAAGTCAATGATGCAAGAGTGCATAATTATGACCTTTGAAAATTTTTTTTAACTATTATAAAAGCTCAAAATAACTTTTTTTTTTTAAAAAAGATCCATGTAAAATGATAATCTTTCTTGGGTGCTAAAAACGTTGGATACATCTTTTTTTCAATTTCTGAATATTTAACAAGTTGAAATACAATAAAATACGTTATTTGTAAACTTATACATGTGTTTTGAGATGTGTGTATTTAGTTCTAAATCTATATATCTGTATATTTTGAAATTATCTTTAAAGAAATGTTGTATTTTGGTGAATATTTTTTGAGATATTTTTTTTTCTGTCAGACATCTTAATAATAATAATAAATATCCTTTCTTGTTCATTTTCCCTTTTTCTAAAACTGAGAATGAAATGTACGAAACAAAGTCTTTCAACTTGTAAATCCATGCATTGAATCTTTAAACATAAACAAGAAAAAAATAATTATTTTCTTCTATATTGGGTGTTGTTAGCATGCGTTAAACCTCTTAATCAAAACATATTCTGTATAAATGCACTTTTGAAATAAAAAGTTGCTCAATTTATAAACATCAGTTCTTTGGACTATACTTACCCTTTTGTCAATGTAATTGTATGTGCAATTAAAGTCTAAAATAAAATTTTTTTGATAATTCCAAAAAATCTTGATTAATCTTTTTATTATTATTATTATGATTTATTTATCCAGTAGGTGATAAGTCATGGTTTGGACACAAACACCATCTTGAAAACTGCGGACCTGGTTTGTTATTGCAAACATTCCTATAAACATTGAAAATTCAAAAGTTGTGAACAAACATTCATAAAAACTGCTAATGTGATTTCAAAAATAATTAAATAAATGTAAAATTAATTTATTAAAAAAATAAGTGAAAAAAAATCAAGTGAGCAAAATTTATTACTATTGTATGAACTAGGCTCGTTCTATTTTCTGATATACTCGACCTCAATTTTCTCTGACTTCCGGTATTATAAATTGTAAAATATAAAGGATTTTTTTTTTATGCATTTCAATAAGCAAAACTATATATGTATTATTTCTTGTGATTGTATATGATTGCAGTAGAAAGCCATTTTGGAAACATTTATTTTATATGCGTGCGCTGTCCACCGGAAGTCCCTGGATGTTTGGAGGACAGATAGAAGGCAAACGGCCATATTTGCTGTTGCAAATAATGGCATAATAACTACATTGTGAAAAGAAATAAGTGGTTTCAATGTAGAAGGTTCCAGTTTCGACATTTTGGTAAATGATAACATTGTTTCTCTAGTGGCATTATTTTTCAGCCCTAGGTCTATTTGCTCTCAATAACTAGTTTGCAGCAAAATCAACTGTTTGCAATTTTATACTAGTTTTTGCAAAAGAGTATTAAATGCAAATAACTTTAATATAATTGTTTGTTTTTCCTCTGTTGAACGTGAAAGTTAAGAAGAATGTTAATGATGGCAGTGGATGCTATTTTTGGTATTTTCACAGATCTCTGCACAGTAACACCCAAGTCTCACCAAGGTCTCTAGAGAAACGAGATGGTACGTCTGAAGGAGGAATCGAATGAGTACGTATTTGATCATTATTTGTTGCTTTTTATTTTTTTTTAATATCAAATCACAATTTACTTTTTTTCTTGTTGGGAGAAAAGAGTACTTGGGCTAATGCACTAATTTTGCAGGAACCTAGGTCTAACTATTGAAACACAAACTTGAAATGAAACTTAAAATGTTTTATAATATTTATAACATCTACGAATCATGAATTCATTCAAGATTAATAAAATGGAAACTGGGATAAGATGAGAATATATTTATAAAATATATTTCATTTATAAATACATGTATTAAAGAGTACACTTTCTTGTTTGCAGTATATGTCAGATTGCATAAGAATTTGACGATTCTGTTTAAATTTCTCAGTAATAAAGGGATTAAATCTTTTCACCCAGTCTTATGCTTATGACTGTTTTTCATACTCATCCGTTCACATGAAGAATGTATAATCATGCAATATTGATATAAAGTACATTCCTGCATGTCTGCCCCATAAAATAAGCAAAAATGCATATAATATTCTTTAATTTTTTATATTTACATATGTATAGTATAGTATGTTAAAGTCTTTAACATACTATACTATAACATACGTAAATATAATAAAAATATACATAAAGCATTTGCAGTCTTTATGATTGTTTATTATGTAATATCAAGCAATACAGTTTGAAAAAAGGGGCAAAATAAAGAAAATCCAAACAAAAACAATATATGATTCAACTACGAAAGATACAGATAGGGCATATAAGTATCCATGTCAAATCTGAAATCAGATGTAACATCAAGCTTATGCATACCCACATTTTATCTGTATCAAAGATAAAAACACATGCCATATTCTAGTAGTGTCTTCACAAATTATCCTTATATTTTTCCACCCATTTTAAGTTTTCGAAATAAGCACTGAACATATCAAAGTAAATTGGAAGAAATCAGACATTTTCTTTTTACATACAAATAGTTGTATTGGTTGAAATCTCGTGCAGAAAGTTTAAAACTAGATGAACATAAGAATGACAATCAAATGATGTTGAGTTAAACAATCTGTCTGTCTCGTGGTAAAAGTGTCAGTTTTTAACAAATATGAAAAAGCATCAAATTCGTTTTAAATTTCAAATAATTTACATCAATTTAATGCCACTAACAAAATGTTCAGGAATTTATGTATACTTTTCCTTTGTGCCTGTGGTGTTTTATTTTAATCGGTTCAATGTCTATTACTAAATCTCTTAAACTTGCATCTCCACTGCTCGTTAAAAATTCATGAACTTTTCCCTTTTTTGCCCACTTTTTGTCTTTTTAAGGGTTAGAAGGTGTGTATTTTCTCTCTTTTACTTTATTAAGTATATTTTATCTTTCACTGTTTTCCCTCCAACATAGAAAAAAAATGTCTCCATATCTTTTCAATACCATTTGCTATGCCAGTATCTTGCTCTTAAAGAATTAAAATGTATATCAGTCAAATTCGTTATTAAGAGTAATTTCTAGTTATTGAAGGATATGATGTTTTGACAATCAAAACTTTTCTGCTGGAAAATTTCCTCGGTAAAATTTATATTATGGTAAAATCTTATCCTTATACATGTAGCTAAACCTTAAGGTCCTGCTCTAGTCCTAACCGTAAGATTTCTTGGTATTTGAATCCAGGCAACAAATATACTGGATTCTCCCTATAGACTGACAGGATAATCACTAAACCAGAAGAAAATGAGATTGTTGCAAATTATGAAGATTTTACATAAAGAACTCATTAATATAAACTGAAATATCAAAGAAGTTGTTACAATTGAGATTTGATTTTTCACTTTCTTATTATCGAAACATAGGCATTTTCCTTATATTGTTGGCTTCTTTGAAAACTTTCGACTCGGCTGTAAAGTATATCATTTTGATGATTCAATTTTTTAAAACTATTTAAACAAACCGTAATATATGAAAATAAAATGTGCAGTGTAAGAAATTGCCCGAAAAATGTAATTGGGAAATTTTTTTCGGGGGTCATATAAGTTCTTTATGTGGATTCATCAATTGTTATAGTAGAAGTTAGTTTGAGTTAATAAAATTGAACGATTGCTTACCTGTATGACTTATATTCCAAATAATATCCTTCATAATATAACGTCATGTTTGCCCTTTGTGCGGAATCAAACTAAAATAAAACTCGGTTACTTTACAGGTCCCAGAATATGACAGTTTTTTATTGTAAGAATTACGTCTGACTCTTATTGTATCTTTTTATTTTGCGACGTATCACTTAATTTGATTTATCGTGAGGGAAAGAATGGGCCTTTGGAAGATTTGTAATAGGGGAATTGATTTTGCGAATGTTAAAATTGAACTACGTTTTAGTTTTCATGTGTAATAGTCACATGCTATGTAACTACGCATTTCATACCGTGAAAAACTTACAAATGTCAATTTGTTACCCACGAAATATAGACTCTTGCGTAAATTTACTTTTCTGGTTGGTTCTAGATTTACCGATACCCAAACACCAATGAAGTTCTAGATTTATCCAAACCTTTCTCGATTTACGTCATAGGTGTCAAGTCATTTCGCTCTATTTTCGCTTTGCACCGAGACGCATAACTACGTATTTTACCTAAAGTATGTATAAAATGAAATATTTATATCAGGATTTATAAACTATATTTATATATTAAAGCTGTATTACGAAACATTCGTCATATTATACTGTAATTTTGTTGGTAAATTAAGTGCACAATTTGAACGATTGAAATTGTATGGAGAGACATAAGGGACCCAAACTGTTTACATTTGAAAACTTTAACCTAAACTGTAATTTACTTTTTAGCTCACCTGAGCCAAAGGCTCAAGTGAGCTTTTCTGATCACAATTTGTCCGTTGTTTGTCGTTGTCGTCGTTGTCGTCGTCGTCGTTGTTGTAAACTTTTCACATTTTCGACTTCTTCTCAAGAACCACTGGGTCAATTTCAACCAAACTTGCCACAAAGCATTCTTGGGTGAAGGGGATTCAAGTTTGTTCAAATGAAGGGCCAAGCCCTCATTCAAGGGGAGATAATTGGGAATTAATGAAAATTTGGTGATATCTTTTAAAAATTTTCTTCTCAAAAACCACTGTGCCAGGAAAGATGAAACTTATGATGAAACATCATCAGGTAGTGTAAATTCAAGTTTGTTCAAATCATGACCCCCGGGGGTAGGGCAGGACCACAATGGCCGACCAAAATTTTACATAGAAATATATAGGAAAATTTTTTAAATATCTTCTTCTCAAGAATAACAAAGCCATAATTGATCATATTTATATGGAAGCTTCCTCAGTTAGTACGTGTAAATTCAGGTTTGTTCAAATCATGACCCCCGGGGGTAGGGCGGGGCCACAATGGCCAACCAAAATTTTACATAAAAATATATAGGAAAATTCTTTAAATATCTTCTTCTCAAGAATAACAAAGCCATAATTGATCATATTTATATGGAAGCTTCCTCAGTTAGTACGTGTAAATTCAAGTTTGTTCAAATCATGACCCCCGGGGGTAGGGCGGGGCCAAAATGGCCAACCAAAGTTTTACATAGAAATATATTGGAAAATTCTTTAAAAATATTCTTCTCAAGAATAGCAAAGCCATAATTGATCATATTTATATGGAATGGAAACATCCTCCGGTAGTGTAGATTCAAGTTTGTTCAAATCATTACCCCGGGGGCAGGGCCGGGCCAAAATGGCCAACAAAAGTTTTACATAGAAATATATAGGAAAATTCTTTAAAAATCTTCTTCTCAAGAATAGCAAAGCCATAATTGATCATACTTATATGGAAGCATTCTCAGGTAGTGTAGATTCAAGTTTGTTCAAATCATGACCCCCGAGGGTAGGACGGGGCCAAAATGGCCGACCAAAGTTTTACATAGAAATATGTAGGAAAATTCTTTAAATATCTTCTTCTCAAGAATAACAAAGCCATAATTGATCATATTTATATGGAAGCTTCCTCAGTTAGTACGTGTAAATTCAAGTTTGTTCAAATCATGACCCCCGGGGGTAGGGCGGGGCCAAAATGGCCAACCAAAGTTTTACATAGATATATATAGGAAAATTCTTTAAAAATCTTCTTCTCAAGAATAGCAAAGCCATAATTGATCATATTTATATGGAAACATCCTCCGGTAGTGTAGATTCAAGTTTGTTCAAATCATGACCCCGGGGGTAGGGCGGGGCCAAAATGGTCAACCAAAGTTTTACATAGAAATATATAGGAAAATTATTTAAAAATCTTCTTCTCAAGAATAGCAAAGCCATAATTGATCATATTTATATGGAAGCATTCTCAGGTAGTGTAGATTCAAGTTTGTGCAAATCATGACCCCCGGGGGTAGGGCGGGGCCACAATGGCCAATCAAAGTTTTACATAGACACGTATAGGAAAATTATTTAAAAATCATCTTATCAAGAATAGCAAAGCCATGATTGGTCATGGGACTACTTTTTGATATAAACTATTCAATAATAAACCAATTTCTACTTTTTCCCAGCCACATTGCTCAGGTGAGCGATGTGGCCCATGGGCCTCTTGTTTACGAATAAATTTAAGCCCAATATTAGAATTTTATTAAATTAATTAGTTAAATAAAATGAAATAAAATGAAACAAATTTTAAAAAAAAAAATCAAATTAAATCTAATTTTGAAATAAAAATATCAGAGAACACTATAGTATTTTTCTCTTTGAATACCAAATCTATTATGCATGTTAACAAAGATTTATTTATTCCTATTACTAAATGTATTATTTTTATAGATACGTCAAAGAAGTGCAATATATGACCTCACCCATGTGCCTAAATTGATATGAACTATTGGCGATATTTTAATATTGAGTGTGGCCATGGACATGGAGCTGAAAATTTTGCGGCTATACATTCAATGTATGAATGTGCTTCGATTAGAATAGTAAAGTCTGAGGCAGTCTAGTCACAATTAAGCATCGTGATTTATTATAGCATTTTGCGAATTGTATCAAATTCTCATCCTCGCTGAATGATAAATTAAAAAAAAACAATTATTTAATTTTAACATTCAGTCAGCACTGGGATTTATCCAATCCTCCAAAAATCACATACTTACAAATAATGTCTCTCTCTCTCTCTCTCTCTCAAATAACACCTTTGAAATGTAAAACTGTAGAAAATGTAGACTATTTGCATAATTTTAATGAACATTGAAATTCATACCTGTCTAATAGTTAATTTTTTTAACCCCTGGGTGGGCTCGAATTTAATCATTTTGAATATAATTTTCTTAATTTCTTTGGAAATTTTAATTTTGTTATCTCGCTTCGGGCTCATTAAACAAGTGAAAATACATATCTTTGAAAAGATTTCTCTTTACTCCTGGATATTTAGCAAGGAAACTTTTTTTTGGTTTCATTATAAAGAGCAGTTACGGTAGTCCTTATATTGAAGTTTTGGTTTCGGATCCCAACTTAGAGGGGGTGGTATAAGTTGAACATACCCGGTAGTCTTTAATTTATTGTACAGTGCATTAACTTATTTGATTTCTGGAAAGTGTTTGATAGCAGCAAGAAGTGAGTCCGGCAAATTACTAGTAATATACAATGAAATCTTTTTTCACATGCATAGTCTAGGCCACTTCTACATTAAAAAACTTCATATACTCGTATAGTGCATCGTCGCAAGCCAAGGGTTTTGTGTCCATTCTACTTGTGGGAATAGAATGCACACAGAAATCTTTGTCCACATGCATAGCCTAGGCCACTTCTACATAAAAAAAAAACTTCATATACATGTACTTGTATAGTGCATCGTAGCAAGCCAAGGGTTTTGTGTCCATTCTATTTGTGGGAGTAGAATGGACACAGAAGTATATACTTGCTATATAGTGTGGCAATGAACATCAATCGAAGTTCAAGATAGAGTCCTTGTCGCACTGTAAAATTCACCAGTCCATGGTTTCAGTAGTCCCAAACAAGACTGAGTTGGACATGAGATAGTCTCAGGAACTCATGAGACTGAAGATTTTCAGAGAGATCCCAAATAATTGCCATATTGCGTTGGTGTACATACATTATACGATTGTGTAGTATTTAAAATTCACATTAGCTGCACACACACCCCCTTCCCCTCACAGGCGCTTGACGTTTTAATTTTTCTTTTTATAAATTAAAAATTCCTCATACTATAATAATAACAGGATTTTTTATTTATGAAAAGAAAAGTTAAAAACGTCGACGTCAAGCGCCTGTGCTTCCCCTCGAAAAGCAATCACAGCACCTCGCCCATGAAAGCCATCTCTCTCTCTCTCTCTCTTGTAGATTTTAGTAAATGAATACTGGTGGCACATGTAGACATCCAAATAAATGAGTTTTTTTTCCGTATCTCATGAATATTTCAGTCGTCTAATTCAGGATGTTGTAAAAGGACCACGGGGATCCACCGTTTCTTTTCTCAGATTTCTTAAATTACTTAGTACTTTATAAAATATGGACCACCCTTAAACCTCAGGAAAGATATTGAAATACTAGTAATGCAAAGTTAACTTTGGGGTGAGGTTCCTTGAATCGTGTCGGGGGGGGGGGGGAGGGTTCCGAGTCGTCAGTGGTTTTGAGTGTCCAACAAATATTCGATAAGCAAATGAAAAATATTAATACCTTGTATCATGATCAAAATTTCAATAAGAAATAGAAGTTATGAAAAGACGATCTTAAAAAATAACACCAATGTTTATTTATTTTACAAGGAAATACAGAAGGGGGTAACCCTTGAGCCACGTGACTGTGGAGGACATCGTCCTTTCACATGGAAGAATAATTGCCGAAAAGTGTAGCAAGAAACACCAAAATAGGGGGACCAAAACATTGAAAGAAACGCCAATTACTATAATGAAAAGGACTCGAACAGGCCGTAGAGTCAGAAGGGGGTATTTATTTAACATTATTTGCATCTTTGCGTACAGTCAGGGAAAAAAAAGCATGCTCATGTTGTTTACCCTCAATACCTACTCAAACAAATCAAATGATCGAACTACCTAATCGAAATTTGTCTACTGTCTTTCTTTTTATTGTTTATTTCTCATTAAAATTATATTTAAAAATAGCTGCATTGTTGTAATTAATCATATGTGTTTCCACCCCTGCCCCCTCGGCACAAATAAATAGAGGTCTGCATGGTAACCTTCTTTAAACTTGTCAAGAACTTCTATTACCCCCCCCCCCTGAAATTGGTGGAACAAATTCGAAGTCCTTCTTCAAAATAGAAAATTACTAGGTTTAGGGGTTGTTTACGATCATATTTCATGTAATTTCTAAACTACATGAACACTGTCGATATTAAATATGGCTGAGGACCCCCTCCCCCAATAAATCATTTTTCATATTTGTACATGTAGGCATATTTATACCACCCACTCCGAATCTTTCTCCTCTCTTTTGGCGTTTCTTGTTGCAATCTTTTAGTCAGTTTATCATCCTTCAAGTCTTTAATCCCACAGTATATTTTATTTATTTTATTTATTTTCATGCTGAGCTTTGAATCGCTGAAATCAGGTCGTTCCTTATATATTGGTGTTGTAGCGAAGCATAATAAACCCTCTAGTGAAAGATTGCGCTGAAGTAGACTTTATTTCAAAATGCGTTCACGCGCATCTTGAGTTCAAGAGTTGGTCTAAAGGTCATGCTAATTAGGAGATGCCCCAACAATACTTGAACGTGTTTTATGTGTAACACCCCCTCCCTTTGCATATCTATTATTAATTATTAAGCCTTTCTTTAGCCTTCCAGGTACGTAGCATCGTTTTTGAAAGCGGGGGGCCAACCAGAGAAATTTTTTTTTTACTTACCTGTGAAAGTTGACAAGCAAAAAAAAAAAAAAAAAATTGCCCAAACTCGAAAATCCTATTTCGTGGGGGAAGGGGGTGGGGATGGTAAGTGGCCAACTTTTTTTTCAAGGCCAACTTCCTTTCACTTCCCATTTTTTTGCATAAAATACTACATTTTCCTTCGTATCACTATAAGTGTGGTAAGAAGGGGGAGGGGCAACCAACCTTTCAATGGACATTTTCAATGGTAAAGGTAATGTTGGGGAAAAAGTGGGCCAGGGCCCCCTGGCCCCCCTGTTGCTACGTGCCTGCCTGCAGATAATAGGCCTAACTATTTTCAGTTGTCAATAGGGCTGGGTATTGGCCCGAGTTTTCGTATTGCGATATATTGCGATATTTTAAACTGTATTGCGATATGTATTGCAATATTTTTAATGTAACAAAAATGGCATTTTCTTACTATATTTACTTTAATTTACATGCACAATGTACATAACTATGATAAGTAACCAACACGGAAAAAAAATCTTGTTGATTTCATTTAGTTATGCTCTGAAATGTTCCCGCAAAACAACTTCTGACTTACTGTTTGGCTTAATAACAAACTTTCATAAGTCCATTTTTATTATATTTAGTAACAAAATTCCTTAATCTAAGCATATTGCCAATATATCGATATTACAAAATCGTATTGCGATACGATATTTTTTGTCATTGTATTGCAATATATTGAAATATCGATATTATTGCCCAGCCCTAGTTGTCAAATTAAGTATGTTATGTACTGAAAGTAAGAATTAAAGGATACAGACTCTGGAAATGACATATAGATCTTACTTGAACAGAGAGGGGGAAAAACCAAGTTTTGCCAAGACCAAATTACTTGTCCGTGACAAAATTAGCTGTGAGCGAGTCGTTTGCTTTGCTAGTGAACCACATGTATCAGAGACAAAGGCCTAAATAATGTGTATCCTCGGTGTCATTGCATGATTAAATGTATTAATAATAATATCGATTTTTAAAAAATAATGCAAAACTATTAAAATCTACAAAATAATATAATTAATAATTAGATTAACATGTAAAAATGTGTAAAAATGATCGTTCCGAATGACCAGGCAGTCCAGCCCATATATTAGTATGACCCGACATAAACTTCCAGTTGATTCTCGCGAGATTCCCTTACGTAGAAGTTGGTTTCGTCAAAATGTCCTCGGAAACTCCTATGGAAGAGGACCCCAGTCCACAGACAGAATTTCATTCGGGAGAATTATTGTTAAGTATCGCCGATATACTGCATTCAATATTTTGACATATTGTCATTCATACGAAGGTCACAGAGAAAAATAAAATTTTAATCTGTGTCGAGCCCGATTTAGAACTGGGATTCCCCCCTTCTCGTATGTTCTTTCACGTAAAATGATGTGTTTTGAGACGTTTCTATGATAAAATTAGTTTATTTAACTCTGTTAAAAACTACAAAATTTAGGTTTACATGTTAAAAAAATAATTTTGTAAAAACAGGATGTATGGATTTCCATGGAAACTTCTAGAACATGTGTATTTAGGGCCTATACATATTGAGCATGTTGATATGCATGTTTCTATTTTTATTTTTATTAAAACGTTGTTGTTGTTTTTTCTAATTATCCATAATTTATGGTCTGTAATAGAATTATTATACCCATGGGTGAATTATTCTACATAAAATCATATATATTTGGTATACAAAATGACAAAATAAATAATATTGCACTTTCAGTTAGATCTAATTCTAAATCTAAAATTTTTCAGCTAGGCCTACTGAATAGCTACATGACATTTATGTCATTTAAATAATTTAGTAATTGGATTTCTATATTACCATTAAAATCTTTTATAGAACTTTCTTCTATGTTGATTAAAAAAAGTAAAAGATTTGACATAAACTATGACAGCTCCTGAATTTTAGTTTATTATTCAAGATGTTAACATTTATGCATGTTGGTTTTGATTTTCCTCTCTCCACTGTTTATATCAATTTTTTTTAAAGAATAAGTTCAGCAGATTTAACTAATATCACAAATTAAAATTTTCAGAAAGACAAACATTGATGCTGAGAATAAGAAAGCTGAAGGAAATGCATTTTATTCAAAGAAGCAGTATAAAGAAGCAATACAGTGTTATACAGAAGCCATTGGTAAGGTCTAAATAACTTTACTAAGCAAGTTGATTAGATTTCTTTACTTTGCTAAATGCTTCCACATGTAAAGTTTCTTTGTATGTTTAAATACAATGTAAGTGGAAATTTTACCGAGATGCAGATTTAGCGATTTGTCCTTAAAATTGGGTATTATATATCTAGCTAGAAGTATTATTATTAAATTATTAAATATTAGTGATTTTGAAATGCTCACTAAAGAAACTATTACAACTTAAACACAATTAATTTTTAGCCATATTCAATTTTAGCGATCTCGGCATCCTCGCTAATAATGCCAAAATTAAATCCTTCCTAAAAATTTGCTTATACAGTTTTATGATTAAGGAATATTTTTGGAATATCAATTATCATTTTGATTGGCAAACCTCTCCATAAATCTCTCTTTCTATCTGTGATGGGTGTTTCTTTGTTTATTTAGATTCATGTCCTAACTGTGCTGCTTACTATGGGAATCGTGCTGCTGCCTATATGATGCTGAATAGGTATAAAGATGCACTGCATGACATCAGAGAAGCACTTAGGATTGACAAGGAATTTGTGAAAGTAAGTACCAGTAACCTTTTCCCCAAAATTAAGAACCAATTTTAATGGAGGATAGAATTTAGAAAGAAAGTTTGTACCATTTAGTGATATGCTGGTACCTACATCAGAGCTGTGGAAAACTATTTTGTTTCTACGCTTTTAATGCAAGTTGAATGATGATTTTTGCCGGGGAGAGTAAGTTCCAAATTAAAAAGTGCAAATTATTTTCTTAATTACACTTTATTTTAACATGCATTACCTCCTCCGTTTTCGTTTTTTGCATTTATTACAATGCTAGATTTCATCACTTTTGGGCAGGTGTCAACAGGGACCTATATAAAGGGTGACTATTTGCATTTAGATAAAAGCGATATTTCTATTAAAAATTTATTTTGGTAAAACTATATAAAATCAACAGTTGTTTAGTGCACTCTCTAGTGTTATATGCAAACATTTGTTGCTTGTAAAATAAAAATGACGAGTTCTGAGAAGAGGGGTGTACAAGATATAAAACGAAAGGTATTTTTAAAGAAAGGATCAAGAAGGATGTGAAACCTATGTAAAAGTGAATGGGTAACAAAGTGAACGAAGACTTTTTCTTCGGATAGCAGGCGTAGGAGAAAAGTGGAAACATAACAATTGTTTTCAAATGTCAATCACTTTAATGTACATGTTACAGTATTTAATTATTTGCCCATAAAAAAATGAAGGCATTTAAACGGTAGTATGCAACAATACAACGATCATTGATCAAATTTGCTCGTGATCACAAGCATTTGACGGCTAAAGCAATACAAAGGAAATCAAAAATATTTGTTTCATGTTCCGAATCGACAGGACGACATTGTGTGGGGGTCTCCACTGGGATAATTTTTGTCCCAATAATCAAAATGTTTATCCTAAAGCGCCAAAGTCATGATATGGGGTGCAATGGGAGTTCATGGTTTGTCCAACATTATCGTTCCAGTCGGCGAAACTTTGCAAATTATTATGTGAATAAAATTCTTCAGAAAGAAAAAACCTGTTACCTTGCTTTGGCAGGAGATGCCCAAAAGTTGGTTCAATATCCAGCCGCTACGCTTGTTCAAGCTTGCCCTCGTAACACAGAATTGGTGTAAAAATAATTTACCAAACTTTATTTCCAAAGAAGAATGGCCTGGCAATTCCCCAGACCTAAACTGCATAGAAAATCTCTGGAGTATCCTGGACAGTGAGGCCTACAAGGATCCGCGCCCAACGTCTATGATCCAATTACGTCGCCGCCTTCAACGTGCATGGAGGGAAATACCTCAGAAACATTTGATTTCATTAATTCATTCAATGCCAAATAGAATTAAAAATGTACTGAAAAACAAAGGTGGACTGTCTGGTTATTGAAAATAAAAAGAATACACATGAGTTGTTTTTTTCAATAAATTTAGGCCTAATGTAAATCACGGAACGTACTTTCTTAACACCCTTTATATACTATATAGTATATAGGTCCCTGGTGTCAATGATAATTCTGCATAGTAAACGTAATTTTTAAAAACATTAATGCATTTGCGAATTATGTTTTACCTCGAAAATGAGTCAAGGGCTGATTGCTGTGCATATAATTGATACCACCATAATGAAATCGATGGAAAAAAAACGAAATCTGGGACAGTCGGGAACGACGGAAGTACTAGGTAGACCGCTATACTTAACTGTGTTTAAATTTTTCTTTAGAAATGTTTTACGTTTTCTACCTATTCTGTCCTATTTGTAAATTTAAAAGGTCACGCGAGACAATGCTGGTTTCGCTTTCATTTCCTAAAGCCTCGATCTCGTGCAAAGAAAAAGTATTGCGCAATCGTGTATAAGGTACAATAATTAAGCTGGGAAGTGCGCCGATGATAGGCCTGAATTAAAATGGAAAAAACAAAAACCTTTAACAAAAAAAGAGGTCGGTCATTTGGACCGACATCGATAGCATTTTTACCGGTCACAGGCATTTTTTGCCGGTCTTGCCGGCATGACCGGCAGTTTTCCACAGCTCTGCTACATGTGGCTATTTTGTTTCTACGCTTTTAATGCAAGTTGAATGATGAAGAGGGGGGAGAGTGGTGATAAAGTGAAATGTTTAAGAAATTTTTGCATTACTTCATCTTGTACTAAACATACAGATGTGTGACTATTTGCATTTAGTAAAAGTTCAAAAGTTATATAAATCCAGTTGTTTAGTGTTGTAGTTATATGCACTTGTTGCTTGTAAAAGAGGGAGAAGAGGGGTGAAAGATAAAGATATAAAAGAAAGGTATTTTTAAAGAAAGGATCAAGAAATATGAAACCTGATGAATGACTGAATTCTTTTTCTGGGGGAGGGGGGAATGAAATAAAGATTATTTTCAAATTCAGTCACTTGTACATGTACAGATAACAGGCCCATAAGAACAGTGTAGTATGCATGATCATTGATCAAATTGCTATGCTTTTGACTCGCAATACAAAGGAAATCAAAAGTGTTTATTTTTTATGAGGGTTTTCGCTGGAAATTCTTCTTCGAGCTTAAACCTCCACTGGGATAATTTTTGTCACACGAATCAAAATGTTTATCCTAAATGCCAATTAAGACACCATTTTCATCCAAATTAATTTGACCTTTTTTAGGGTTACCTCAGAGAAGGAAAATGTTACCTTGCTTTAGGAGAGCCCCAGGCTGCCCTCTGTAGCTTCAGAAAGGTCCTGGAACTGGATCCAAACAATGCAGCAGCAAAGACAGATGTAAGACTAAGAGACATCAAGCTTTATCTTACTTTTGAAAATGTAATGTCCTATTACAGTGTTTGAAACTCGCTGTAAAATTAGCTAGACATGCAGGGCTGATTGCTAGTTAAAGTTGTCCACCCTGCCAAAAATGTACTAGCCCGAAAAAATAATTGTCATTTTTAAGTTTGATTCAGCAATAATGTGAATGTGTCAAGCTCACTATATATTTGATCCCAGACCTAGTGACTGATGAATTCTTCCGTTTGCTTGTTACACTTTGCAGCCCGTAATATTTGTTGATTTGAGAGAGTTTTATCAAATATCTGATTTTAATTTATGCCCAGCGGGGCGTCAATACATGCAAATATGTTCGCCCATGACAAAATGTGCATGTCTTGGGCAGTTGGGCGCACAGTTATTTCAAACGCTGCCTATTACCATGACGATATTAAATTCTTTTAATAATCTTACTTTGAAAATATTTTTTTTACCAGATTGAAATTGCAAATGGAGTGATGAAATTTGAAACAATGGCAGAAGAAGACTTTCAAAAAGAAGACTTCAGAAAGGTAATAGTTCTATCATTGCAAACCAAATGGCCTCAATAGTATAGAATACATTTGATTTGTGTTTTGTATGTATTGTGTGTGCATGTGGTCCTGACAATAATTAGGTTTGTGCAATTTTATTAACAGAGATGCCACACACCTACTATACTGAATAATTAAAGCAGTATGAGCCGCAACTTTGATGTCAGAATTTTTTGTTGCAAAATTGTGAATAATTATTTCAATGACAGAAAAAAAATAACATTAAGAAACTTCTGCTGTTAAATTTTGTGAGAAAAAAACCAAACGTTGAGAAAATTAGTTATATTGGTATTTTTTTCTTCATTTGGATTATACTTCACGTTAAAAGGCATACACAACCTCTGAAATGTTTGTTATAATTGATTAAGAAATTATTTTCAGTGCAAATCCTTTCGTATTTAAAAATTTTTTTGGTTGTGTATATTGGTGGTTTATTCTGCTATTATGTAACCTATATGAAAATCTTCAGTGATTTTTAATCACAGCACCAGTGAGGTGTAAATTACATATAGATTTATCTAAATCGCTGTAAAAATTTCCAGATATATCGCCATATTTGATGTCAGAATTTCAGAATTTTTTGTTGCAAAATTGTAAATAATTATTTCAATGACAGAAAAAAATAACATTAAGAAACTTCTGCTGTTCATATTTGTGATGAAATTTTGTTTCTAATTCTGTTAAAAAGATTGGAATTTCAATCACCAATGATTATATTTTTGGGTTTTTAATTAAAACTGTTCAATAATGATATAATTTGTAAGGAAATAACTTTTCATGTAACAAAATACAAAGAGAAAATTAATCAACATGTTGCTTTTACTGTAAAAGTTTTAGTTTAAAGTGTTATTTATATTAACACAAAAACTTTAAAATGCAATAAAACACTTAAATGATTTATGCATTAAAATGATCTAGAAGCCCTTTCATAATATATCACATATCGCTTTAAAAAATATTGTATCGTATCGTATCGAAATTTTTGGCTCAATACACAGCCCTTGATTTATCATATTAACACATTTTAAGAGCAATATAAAATTTTCAAAACTCAGCTCATATTGCTTTAAAGTAATGTCCATGTTCATTAGTCATAAAATTTACAACATGTATATGTGTTACAGTAAAACACACTTTTAGCAAAGAATCTTACAGTGTATGTAATGAATTGATGCTTACAACAAAGAGATTTTCATTCCCCACGACTTTAAATGTATATAATACTGTGTTATGCATCGATCATTACAGTAATTATACATTACAGCATGCACATAGCATGCATGTGCGAGTTATTATAGTTACATGTATTTAATATCTGATAGAAATGATGATCACCAGTTATTTTGGTCTGTGTATTGGTAATTAATGTAGAAAAATAGTGTACACGTACAAGTAAAAGTGTGTGTGATGGTTATTACATTTACTACACTGCATTGATGTGATAATCATTATGAGTACTATAAGGTATTTATGTTTGTAATTTGTTATTGTAGGCTGTATTCTGTATGGATCAGTGTCTACAGAAATGTCCAGCATGTATCAAGTTTAAACTGAAGAAAGCAGAGGCTTTGGCAATGCTAGGCAGATATCAAGAGGCCCAGGAAATTGCCAAGTAAGTATTAGATGTCATAGTATGATCTTTTATGTGTGTGTAGTACATTTTATACAAAAGCTGGTCAATTAAATGCGATCAAATATATATCAATGTAGCATATTTTACTACCATGAGCTAATGTAGAAAACACTGATGTGAAATAGTATTTAGTATACCGGTAGTTGATGTTTAGTTTCAATTATTAAGCTACTGTGATATTAACTATTGAGAATCGTAGTCTACATACATGTATTTAACATATCAAAGTGGCATCATTCAAAACATTATCATAGTATATCTGTATTATAAAAATGAAGTCAGTATCACTTGATCCAAGCAATTGTTTACTTTGCAGTGATGTGTTACAAAGAGAAGATCCCATGAACTCGGATGCCCTATATGTGCGGGGTTTATGTCTGTATTATGAGGATATGGTAGATAAAGCCTTCCAGCATTTCCAACAAGTTCTGAGGCTAGCACCAGACCATGCCAAGGCAAAAGGAGTCTATAAAGTAGGTCTTTGGTATTAGATTCAGCAAATCTTTATTTATCAACTGCATCTCTTAGAAAATAAAATCTACTGAACAAGAGCCAAAGAAATCCAGATAGGATAGACTTTTTCAATGTCACCTTTTTTTCTCTGCTTGTTCATAGTTATTCCCCTTCCATGATCCACTCCCTAAAATTTTCAAACTAAATTACCTACCTACTGATCCATTTTGTCACCCAGTGTTGAGAGAGGCCTGATTAATAGTACATGTACAGATAAGGGGAATAAATATGTAACTCCATCCAATGTTTTGTTGAAGTGAAAGAAAATTCCTGTTTTTCATGAAATCTTTTTCTGATTTAAAACTTTGATACAGTTCAACAGATTTTTAATGGCATTTATTTTATTGCTTCAGTCAATAGAATATGTCACCATCTGAGGGATAAAAATGTCCCTTATATCTGAGAGTTCCTTACACAAGTATTACTTCTTTATAGATGTGTGTTACTGCTTTTCCTTGAGGATATAATTTTATTGAAAGTTCCACAGGACTGGGGCTGTATTTTCCAAACATTATGATATGACTTGCTCTAAATGTTTTACACAAAGAATAAACTTTTTCAGAAAGCAAAGTCACTTAAAGCAAAGAAAGAAGAAGGCAATTCAGAGTTCCGTTTAGGAAACTTGGATAAAGCACATGATTTATATACAGAAGCTTTAGAGATAGATCCCCTTAATAATTCAACAAACTCCAAGTTATATTTCAACAGAGCTACAGTATCATCCAAAGTAAGTATTGTGTAAGAGAAAAGAAAAAAACATGTTTTTGTTGTTGCGTGAAGGTACATTTAAATTAAATATAAAACCTTATATTTTGTAGTTAAATCAAGTGCAAGATGCCATAAATGACTGCTCAAAAGCAATAGAACTTGATGACATGTATATCAAAGCATATTTAAGGAGGGCAAAATGGTGATATATTTTTTTTAAACTTGTTTTTAATCGCTTGTTTCTTACATTTAGAAGGTATTCTGAAGGCGGAAATATTACATGTACTATATACATGCACACATTGTCACAAAGGTTTAATTTTGGGTAGTTCAACGTAGATTCAAAAGTGATCAATTTTAAATATATATGTTTTTCAACTGTGCATTCTGCAATGATTCAATGAAAGCAATGAGTCAATTCATAAAATACTGTAAGTTTGAGAGTCAAAATGTTCCTCAACTTTTGTCCAAAATCTCATGGCTCAATAGAGGTTAGGAAGAGAATTATAATTGACTCTTAAAATTTTTTGTAAATACAATAAAGGAAGATATGTGTGTTCTTGAATGTGAAAAAGTCACCCAGAAATTCTATTGTTTCATTTATTTGTAATTGTAACCGAAAAGAACTACGGGTATTTTAACACTATCCTCTAAAAAAAAACCTATTTTATCAGAACTTGATAACATTTCAGTTACATGGACTTAGAACAGTATGAGGAAGCTGTCAGGGATTACGAGAAAGTCTATAAAAATGATAAATCAAGAGGTAAGGGTAGAGAAAACATAACGCGTAATTAGTTTCATTATTACTTGTAGTGTTCCCAGCAGTTATAGTAAAGGGAGATAAACTGTAATAGAAAATTTTCTTCATTATCAGATATTAGAGCTGTTTTAAAAGTTAAAAATTCCAATCCTGTATTTCTTTTAAATCATGTGTAAGGGTAACGAAAGACTTAATAAGTATTAGAAATAGAAATTTTAATTTCAGAGAATCTCATTCATCTGTCTGTAAGCATGTCAGTCTGTCCATCTGTCACAAAAACTTTAACCTTGGTAATATTTTATGAATGAGAAGAGATCTTTCACCATTTCAGCATTGAACTATACCTCAATGTAAGCACACTTTGTTCGAGGAAACGAATAATTCACTTTGTGTTACTCATTGATACTGCAGGTGTCACAAAAAAAATCCTGCGGAGCAAAAATTGCTGTGTTTACCTTTCAAGAACATCTCTGGGTAATAGTACCGGTACTGTTGTGCCAGTGGGAGAGAAACTGCACTATGCAGAGTAGATGCATTCATTCCTCAGGAAAAATGTGTGCAATGGCAATATGCTATGCTAAAATTTCAGGAGAGAGGTTTAAAGAATGTGGTAAGGTCAACTGCCATTACCAAAGCATCAAGTCCGAACCCTCATACAGAGGATGTATCTGTATATACCTGGCTAGGGTCATATGAACACATAGGGAAGGATATCCATAACCTTTTTCTAAAGACTGAAACCAACACCAGCCCTATAGGTCTACGCATATATTGACCTAGAATTGTTCCTTTAAAAATGTTGCTTGTGAGCAAGCTTTATACCTGGACTAATTAAGAGAGGTGTTTGTGGAGTTCGAAGCACACAGCAACTTAAATACCTGGTAGTACATGAATTTGACCATTTTTTTTTCTCTGTTGCTTGCATTCTCAAGCTTGTAAATTAGGGAAGGCAAAAGATGTTTGAACAGTATGAAAAGATCACATATTTAAGGATATATGTAATACTTCTCTTCTTTCTGTCTGAAAAAGTAGAATATTTAAAATAGCTTGATTACTTGGAGAAAAATTAGCTATTGTGTTATATTTGTATACTGATTTTTACTTCAGAAAATAAGCGACTTCTTCAAGATGCAAAGCTTGAGCTGAAAAAGAGCAAAAGGAAAGACTATTATAAAATCCTTGGTGTCTCCAAAACTGCTTCTGTGGATGAAATTAAAAAGGCATACAGGAAGCGGGCATTAATCCATCACCCAGGTAATGTCAGCAACACAGTTTTCTTAAGAGTCTAAGAGTAATGATTAATTCATTTTTTGTCACTCTTTACTGTAATTTAGAATTGTTGCTAAGAAAATCCATCAAACAATGTTGATTTTGTGCTTATATTGTAGACCGACATAGTCATGATACACCCGAGAAACAAAAGGAGGAAGAGCGGAAGTTTAAGGAGGTTGGAGAGGCCTACTCTGTGTTATCTGAACACACTTTTTTTTAGGAAATAAACAGCGGTATAACTATCTTGATGACTTAGAAGGACCTGGTGGATTTGGTATGATTAAAATAACCATCATTTCACTGGAAGTTTCAGTCAATCAACTTATTAATCAGATGTTATGATTAATATTTTTCACCAAAGACCATCTTTATTTATGCATTAAAAACACATTCTGGTTTTTTTTTGCTACCCCAACCCTTCCCCCAAAAATGAAAAAAAAAATATTTTCAAATAGGCAACACCAAATGCACCAAATGGATAATTAGCCGGGCTTATTGCTCAAAGAGCAATTGCCACTTTTATTGTTTTAGGCATAATTTATATTTCATAGTCGCCATTTTAAAGTTACGTGCAAAAATATAGTAAAATTACTTTCAACCGCTTTTGAGATGATACAACACATGCTCACACATAAATAAAGCAACAAAAATAAAACGAAGTTTTATCTATATAAATAAACATTAGTAGTAATGACTTTGAAAACTTCAGTCCTAAGTCAAAGAACATAGTTCAATAGCGTAAGGATATTTGATAATCAGTGTTATCGTAGTTCTCTACACATTCGAGGTAAAGCAGGAGAGGGAACCAGACTGGCCTGTTTGTTTACATTTAGCTGCGGTACCAGATTAATTCTGATTCTGACAAAATCAGACAGTGGTATTAGGAATGAAAAACTTACTGTCAGTGTCTTATCATTTATATTGATAGTTTTAAAATGATTTTTTTATCGGAATATAAACGTGATTCATGTAAGAAATTCATGTAAGAAATTCATTCTACTCTGTAAATGAGCCCGGCTCTCTGTACTTCTGAGTACTTTGATTTTTTTCAAATACTTGCAAATGTGAATTGGGGAATTAGGAGAAGGAAACTCCAACATCAGTGTATATTAGAGTAATGATAACTTGTAAACAGCCTAACTGTGTAATTTGAAATAGTTCTGATGGATCTTTTTAGACTTGGATTGCTGCATTTATTAGTATATGTTAAATGTTTTGGCCAAGCCATAAAGCTTTTATCAAACCTGTACATTTCTCAGTTTTAACTTGAAATATGCATGTATTTTTTCCATTCAATTTTGAGCAAGGTATTGGTATAGGTTTATTGATTAAATACAAAAAAACGTGTTTTAAAACTCATGGTTTTATAGTGTCCAAATTATTGATAGATAATTGAAATTAGAAATATTTTGATTTCCATGATGTTTATATTTAATTTTGGAAAAAAAGATTAATCTCAAAAACAAATATTTAATACTTGTTATTTTATGATTATTTATTTTTTATTTTTTATTTTGCAGACCATGTGGATCCCAATGTGATATTCCAGACCTTCTTTGGTGGTGGAGGAGGATTTGGTGGTGGGGGTGGTTTCCCTGGTGGTTTCTCTTTCCAGTTCGGATGATCATGATTTTACAACAGCAGACAAGGGAATTTGATTATGTACCGATACACAGAGAGAATCTGCCCACCAGTCATTCACACCTTCATAGAAATATAGGTCAGCCAGATGTACACCTTGGTTGAGAATCATTTCAGAAATCTGACAGTGTATTTCATTGTTAATCTATGTTAATTCATTAGGAATCATTGTCCTATATAAGGAATGGCCTTTCCAGATTTGTTTTTTTTTTTCAAGACTAGGATTGTAAATTGCTCACTTCTGTGCTGTCTCCAATTTGCATGCTTTTTCTTTTATTTTTACTTTTAAAAACTATTGTATTATTATCGACAAAATATGCATTCTCTCATGTATGTTTCTTCAGATTGTAGAGCAATTCTGAAACAAAGGCTGCACTTTCATAATTATCATTTGAAGCATGCACTCATCTGCTTTATCTCCCTTGCCTTGCATTGTAACATATTTCCTATTGTACAATGTACAATGTGTGTCTGTTGGGCTCCGTGAGACCCAACCATACACAGGACATTATTATCATTATTGTACACTCATGAACTGAACTAGAGGATGTTTTATGTTCGTTTTTAAACATGTATTGTGGAGTACTTGAAAAGAATCAGAAAATTATATTTTAATCAATGTTGCATGTTAGTTAAAAATCTGTTTTATATTCAGTAATTTTCTGATTTTTTTTTTTAGAAAATATTTCATAGTATTTCTTTACCCATAATACAAAAAAGTACATATGTATCAAATGTATTTTATGGTGTTCATTATCTTTGCTTTTTGAAGTATCCATTGATCTTAAGGTTTTGTTACAAATTAGGAGTATTGAGTAGGAATGAGTATGAAAGAACGGGAGAAAGAATAAAGTGAAAATGAACATGTACATTTGTTGTAAAGTTACTTGATGAATGCTGTGATTATTGCAATGTTTTTTTGTTCATATTTATGTAATGTAAATCTGAGTTGTGTCAACAAGGTCTAATAAAAGATCTCCTTTGTCTATATCAATTCTTTTTATATCGTAAGGATGATTGTGAAAGTCTCTCACACTGTGTGTGGGTTTGAATTTTTAATCTTGTTTTTTGTTTGTTGTTTGTTTTTAAAAAAAAAAAATGCCCTTTCAATATTCCCTGTCTTAGTACATAGCCCGTTAATTTTTTCCATTATACCGTACTTATTATTGACAAAGAGAGAGGAAATTTTTTTTTTAAACATCCCTAAACTTTGTTTAGATAATCTTTTTTGAAAGGCTAATTTGCTGGTGCAAGTTTCTTTAATCAGTCAAAATGAACAAGGAAAAAATAAAAATGGTATACAGAACAGAGAACTAAATTACAGGCTGCATCTCTGAGTTTATTTATGTCATCTTGGAAGTATAACATGTTTACTTTTTCTTTGGAAGAAATCCAACCAATGAATCCAGGAGTTTTCCTTCTATCTGAAATTTATTGATCAAAAAAATGAATTGGGTTTCATGTTAAATGAAAAAAAGAGGCCCTTTGGCCTTGACGGTCACCTGAAATGGTGAATTTCTTAGGTAATGACCACTTTGTCCCCACCTGGAACTTAAACTCTGAAATTATGTAACAAAGATTTTACAGTTTGGTGAGGACTCCTTATTCAGTATCGTATTTGTGCACTTTAACTCCTTGAAGGTCAATGTAAAGAGAAAATATGCTTTATGATGTACATATACTTCAATTTATAATTCAACTTGGTCTTACCAAGGGGCCTGACCATTGGTTCTGAATTTTAAAATTTATGTAGATTGCAATTATTTTTTATTATAATCATGCAAACAATTGTTAATTATCCATTAATATTAACTTCTTGATGAGTAAATGATTAACATTTATTTAAAGTGTTTTGGTCACAACCCTCAGCCCCAGGAAGACAAGGACTTCTTATTTGTTCCCATTTACTTATAAATTCCATAGACAAAAATTACTCGAGAGAAGGAGATGATAATGTTCAGTGATTTCAACCAAAACCCAATACTTGATGGATGCTGACAGACTTATAAAAACTGATAGAATAGGTCACTTGAAATGACACGTGATATATTGTCACAGGTGCTTGACTTTCTTAACCTTTCTTTTCATAAATAAAAATATCCCCTATATTATAATAATATTGTTATACCCTTATAAATATCCTTCTATATATTACTAATAAAAAGTCCTACAAGAGAAATGTTTATTACATCGGTCTAACAATATCACTATTGACCGGTCTTACATAAGAATTGTTAGACCGCAACGTCACTCGTCTGTTACGTCACAATTAATAATCATCGTTCAATATCGGCACACTTATTTTTGAGAAAATAGCCGAAGTTAAGAGCTATTTTTAAGAGTTGCTGCTAACAGCAAGGTAAGGTAGAAGGGAAGAGTATGTTTTGTGAATAATTTTTGTGATATAATAGATTTATAATTGATTTTGTTCTTTCTCAGCTTGATGTTTACTGAAGAAACCATAATTTCCATATAAAATAATTGATAGTATAGCGTGTATTGATAAAATTGATCAATCTTACGTGAGCAGTGAAGGGATTTTTCCTATATACATAAACAGTTATAGTGGCCTGCCCTTCCCCCGGGGGTCATATGATTTGTTGGACCTGAAGATGAAAATGTTGCCCTTGGCCTGCGGCCTCGGGCAACATTTTCACCTTCAGGTCCAACAAATCATATGTTGCCCTCATACCCAGTCAATAACTGTATAATAATATAGGGGATATTTTTATTTATGAAAAAAAAGGTTAAGAATTTCAAGTGCCTGTGTATATTGTGTAGTAAATTGTAGTATTTAATTTTTGTTCTTCAATCTAATAGTGCAGCGACAGATGAAATAAATTTTATTTGTATTGTACATGTATTTACCTCTTGAAAATCCCGGCAAAATGTTCCATGGACCTCAAAAAAATTCCGAAAGTGGTCAATTATGAATTGTCTTTGCCTACAAAAGTTCATACATTTTCATATTAGAACCAGTGGATTACTTATAATTAGGATTCTAAATTTTACACCTCCTTAGAACTCCCAAAAATATAAGTAACATGATTTCTGTCCCTCATTACAAACTGGTATAGACACACTTATTTTTGAGATTGAAATAAAATCACAACAAGTAATTCAACTTTAAAAAAGCAACATTTTTAATGTTCTCAATTTAAAAAATCAAAACAAAAACAGCTCAATTATGACCAAAAATTACTGTGAGAGACCTGCAGTATCTTGGATATCAAAATAAGATATTATCTCATCTAATAGTGTGGAATGCTTATCGACCATGTTGTATGACCATTGTCAGTGAAAGGGGACAGCCAAAAGAATTGACATATCATTTAAAAAACACTTTGACAAACAAAAATAAAGGAGGTGGGGTGGGGGTAGTAGATCCCAGCTTCTTTCACAACCGAATTTTATTCAATGCTGATTCGACAATACTGCAACAAAAGTACAAAGCGTAAATGAAGCAACCAGCTTTTCAATGAACATTTTCAATCCGTTGAGGTGGGGCTAGAGTACTAGTGGGGATGGGGTGTTACAATGTGCCAGTTTATGGAACTTTTTCAGTATATGAAAATAATACAGATGAGGTTATGAATCCTCAATCTTAAAAAATATTAATAAACTGATTTACATGTACCTCCTACAAAGACTGTTCACATCTATTTCCAGTTTTTTCCTCATTTCCCTCAATTCTCGCTCTTTCTGTGTGCACATCTTGGTGAACTGAAATAGAAGAACACACGTTGATGAAAGACCTATTGACAGAAAGCAAACTATCATATTGGTAAATTCAACATTTAAAAAATATTAGAAAGGAAGCTGGACGCGCGCAAGACAACAGGAGTCTTTTTTTAGCTGTTTAAGACGTTGAAATAACCAAACCAAAATGTAAGCAATGTGAGCGAAAAGAATAAAACATTTGCCAGTCGATACCTCTTCTTTTTCAGCTTGAGACTTCTGCTTGTTCTTCTTCATTTTCTACAAAAGAATGGGAACGATTCAAGTCAACAAGGATAAAAGGAAAATTAATTTAGTATTTCTCTTTAAAATGTCGCATGCTCTTGAGATTTATTTACTAGTATTCAAATTATAATCGTTTTATTATTTTACTGAAGGATTTTAATTTGTTACATATTTAACACTAGATATAATCCATTTGAAAACAAAATGACTCCCCCCAAACCCCAAAATTGGTTGGAGTAAAAAATATACTAATAATTCTGGTAGAGGGCAGGGAGGGCTATAGTCCTGCATGTCCACAAAGTAAACGTTGCATCCGTGTATCACCAAAAAGAATACTTGTTATATCGAATAAATGTGTATAACTTTCGCAAAATAAGGAAAACAAATGAGTTCAAATGGGGGGGGGGGGGGGGGAGTTAAATCACTGAGCATAAATATATATTTTTTAAAAAATGCATTATATTTAAAAATACAAGGATTTATTATGACTATAAAGTAGAATTATGCCGTTTTGCATGTGCAGTTCTATGATTTGCAATTAACAAATAGACAATGAGACATGAGGGGAGAGATTAATTAAGACGCGACAGGAAGAAAAAAAGGGGGGTACTAGGTAACTTACGATTAAAGTTATTTAGAAAATAATTTTACTCTTAAAATAACTGGACTCCCACCGGTGTTTAATCTTAGACCTACCCCCACGTGCACCCGACCTGAAAAAAAAAACGCCCCTTCAATCTGCTGATTCCGCTCATGTGCTCCTTCTCCCTAAAATTCATGAAGCCTACTTACCTCACCTTCACGTCTGTAATGACGTAATGCTTGACTTCCTTCCTCAATCTTAACTCGCAAGTCCTACAATACAAATATTTAAATGATTTTTTTTTTCTAATAACCATCAAATATATATAATCAAAAATACAAAGTCAAAGGGATTCATATTCTATATCTGATAAAATTTGTATACATGTTTGAATAAGATAATTGTTCTACTCCCCAACCCCCAAAACCCAGGCCTATTTTTTTCCACAGGAAAGGCATATGATTTTTCAAAAACCCTAGAAAAAGCAGATTTAACTAATTAAAACTAGTTTTATCTACCGCAGTATTTGCAAAAATTTGAAGATGTAGTGGTCTTAGTCACTTAGATACATAATCCTGTATGCCGATTTTGATTTTTGATGAACAGTGTAAATTCTGTAAAAAATCTTTTTAAAGGCTACTCCTCTTACAGTTTTAAACTGATTGGAATCTTTCCTAAAAATTCATTGCTATTGCAAAGGTTCAAGCCCAGCTGCTTTTTTTCTCTTTCAAACCAGTATAGAGCTACAGTCTCGACAAAGACTTTTGGTTTCCAAAAAGAATATGCTGTTTGAACTCATTTATATTATTAACTGATAGTTATTTTTTATTATAAGAGTTAATTAACAAGTATCAATATTTGATTTGAAGTATTTTCTATATATAAAAATTACGCTGTACAGTGTACATCAATTTCTACCGATTTCTTCCTCTTTAGTCACCGCACACGCAGATCTACTTCATAAATCAATTTAATACATATATCATATACTCAGGGAAAATTAAGGCAACAAGACATACATATAGTGTTTATTTAGAGTTTTCTTGATTTAAAAAAAAAATCGGGGATATGACTAAAATGTACTACCTAGAGAGATTGAAATGCATAAAAAACGTAAATTAATAGAAAAATAATAAAAAAAAAAATATTGCAATGGAATTTTCTAATGATAAATTATGAACTTACTAAGATGACGTAGAACTTGTCTGCGAAGTCTTGGAACCCGTCTCCCAGTTTACTAACATCCTTTTCTAGTAAATCCCAAGAGGCGTCCAAATCCTGGAACAACATCCAATGTCTCAAAGAAATATCGTTTGATTTAAATTTATGTGAAATATCAGGAAATGCGTACATCAGTGATCTATTAAGAATGTGGTGATAGGGTTATTTATTGAAATATAGATTATAGAGAATACTTATTTATTGGATTTAACAAACAGTTC